CCCGCGCTTTTTTTCGTGTTGGAATTGTTGATTCTACGTCTTCCTGGCAATGTCTGACTACTTGAGTGGCTTCAGCGAAATTAATGAGGCTCGTTACACCGCAAAACTTGGCGTGAATAATGTAACATGTGGCGATTCATTCTGTGTGGACGCTGCAGAATGGACGCTAAAGCCCGATTCACATGGTGAGGTTCTGCTCGCTATTTTCAGTCATGAAGTCGCTCGGGCTGCAAAAGCCTGAACCGTAGGTGAGATGCCGACGTCGATACTCAAAATTGCAAGCAGAATCGAACCGAGCGAATCGGGCATAACAAGTCAGTGATGGCCACTGGTAACAATTATCAACTTTTCCTTGTATCTACTGTTTACACCGAGCCTACTTACCCGAAGGAACCTTTGAACTTAAACGTCTTTTGGGGACTGCACTTCTTATCGCAATTACCAGGTCAACGTTTGGTCTACGGGCTGCTGTCGTTTGAACCAGCAGACACGCAGAAACATTTGAGAGAGCAGACGACAGCTCAAACGATGAGGCGGCCGTTTGAATGTGATGATGCACCGAACGCAGTCCACAGGTGGTCCATGCAACTTGACGTTTTTCCCGCCTTCATGTTGGAACAAAACAAATAAATCTGACGACCACAAGTATCCGTGAATTCAATCCAAAGTGCTTTCCGCCCAAGTAATCGTGGTTCGATGGCGTCTGTTTTTCCTTCTAGATGGCCCCTATTCACGTTCTCGGACGAACCGAGCGGGCAAAAAAACCCATGAAAACTGACCTTCAAACCTTTCCCGACTCTTTTGGTAAAGCCCCAGTCGCGGCGTTTTGAGGAGAAGGCAGGTTTTTGTCCGGTTTCTTCCAAAGTAACACAGGAATGCACCTGCCCCATAGCGGATTCCGCCCACAGCCCTAGACCAAAAGTGCGCCCGATGCGCCAACACCGCGCCGTGACATAACAGAGATGAGTTCATGTATAAGTCGGGTTTTCCGGTTCCGCTATAGCCAACATGGCTGCCATCTGCCCATTCTTCCAGTTCCTCTGGTGGTCCGTGTTTTTCGAGTGACTCCGTGAGAAGAGAGGCCGTCTGCCATTCTTGTGGTCTTTGAGCATGAAGGTTTTTTGCTGATAGGCTTAGTATTGAAGCGAGCTTGGTGGACTAAACGTTGTCTCCAAATAGTGCCAACTTCAACTTCGCTGTTAATGCCAACGAAGGCGCCAACAAAGTGCAGCACCGTGATCAAAGTGAAAAACATAAAGCGGAAGTTGCACGAGAACTTAAAATTGACATCAAGTGGAAAGTGGCCAACATGCAGAGAAATTTTATATTTTTGCTGAAATTGATTTTTTGGGCCGCCTGATTATTTGGACAATTTCGGGGTCCCCTCCAAGTCCGAAAAATCGGTCGGCAACTGTAATGAATACAACCCAGCAGCCATCATTAAGAAGGCCAAGAGGCAACTAAAGAAGCAACTATGAAACAGACATCTTGATGAACAATCGTTCGGTTCCCCCTGGACTCTGGAGGTGTCAAAAGTTCACCCGAGAAGGGCAAGGACGGGCAGAGCATAACCCTGCAACTCCGTCTAGAAATGGGAGACGCGCGAGAAATTAGACAAGATCTAAAATTTACGACGTACATCGTCTCCTATGGGACTGTAAATGTTTCAGAAAAGAGAGGGAGGAAATACTTGCAACCGCGGACCCACTAGACAAGGCGAAAGACGGACAAGCATGAGAGAAATCCTACAGGCAATTCCAAAGAACTTGAGTGGCTGAGATCCATAGCTTTCTATCTGGCAAAAACGGGCCTCAGTAAAACATTTCAATATTTCTTTTCTTGTCATGCCGTGCCATATTGCAACAGTTTTTTTTTTCATCGATAAAGGTATATTTTAAATCGTTCAATGTTTCACAGTAAGCACAAACCGACAGTACTCTCATTAATTGAAACTCCAGGAAGCCAAAAATTTTGTTTGGATTATAACGAATTCATCTAAGCATGATGAGAGGTAAAATTTCGATTTGTTATACCGATGGCTACACATACAAAGCAGATACTTCATTATTTTTTCTACACAGACCTACTACTAACCATAAGCAGGTATGCCACTTATGAAACATTGGTGAAATGTATAAGTTTATTTGTCCCTCAGGAATGGTGTGTATCGTAAGCTGTTTAGACGGCACGGCACATGGCACCTCAAAACAAAATTGAGTCTGTTCACCAGCAAAAAAGTTGTCTATTATGGACTATTAGCCCAGTTGAGCGTGCTTGTTGCCGAGCGCCGGTCCACTGCGGAGAAGCAACACTCACAAAGACTAGTCATGGATGAAGAAAGAATAAACAATTACAACAGGGACAACACAACCAATCTTTCAACTAGCAACAGACGAGTAAACTTTTCAACAGCGAGCAGCCGACTATACCCAGTAGGAGTGGGGGAGAGAAGGGGAGAGAAGGAAAGATAAAACACGCGAAGTGCAAGTCAGGGTGGTAGGGTTATCTCAGATTTTAAAAATTCAACCTCAGTTTTCGTCAGCAGGAGGGAAGGGTTTGACACGTTATTTTTTGCTGTGGTCATGGCGAATGATTCTTCGATTTCCCTTGGGGGAATCAAAAAATCCTTGGGGGGCATGAGAGAATAATTGTTTATTCTTTCTTCATCCATGACTTAAACCAACACGCTCTTCTACCAAGCACAAAGACTAGCTTTGCGGCTGCTGCTTCTCCGCAGTCCACCACTGCTCGATAAGAAACATGCTCAACAGGACTACGAGAACGAAAAGCAGAAATTGCACGAAAACGTCATTCGCATCAGAAACGTAGTGGGACAACCACATTTTTGAAAATTTATTTAGAATATCTAAAAGTATGAAATATCCGAGTTTGAATTATCGTGAGCTTACACGCTATCTATGAGAAAAGGTAAATTATAATTCCGTGTTTTCGGAACTCATTTTTCGTGAAATTCTAAGAGCGTTTTTTGGAGTTTATTTTTTGCCGAATATTCCGAGTATATCGGAGCTAATTTTTGTTAGATTCTAAGTTCTCCAAAGTGGGAAGTTTATTTTTTATACGTTTCCAAATTTTCCGAGATCGAAAATAGAAACACATATTAACCACCAATGCACGTGTACATGACATTGGTGCCCTTGTCATTAGTAATACTAACTGGCCGACGACAAAACTTGAAAACAGACATTAAAACCACCGAACTCCTTGGTGTAGGCGTTTGAAAGCTTGTTTTCTTTTCATCCTATTGTACCACTTCTCCCTGATTTAAGCGTTCATAGCTTTCACGGTTATCAAATCGGAACTCTACCTTCCTCCAAGATCAATCAGGAAACCAAAACAGTGATTTGTGTCATTGCCCAGAATTACATTGTCGTGAATGAACAGACGGCATAAACAATGAACCTTCTTTGGTCAATACTACGATATTTTGAAGGAATCTCATGAGGCTTCTCCTGATGACTGCTGAACCTCTGCTCTGACCGAACATGTTTGTAGAGAACTGTCTTTTTTGTTTCTTTTGCCCATCGTGACCTCGAAATCCTGAGTTTTTTTTTATAATTCCAATGTAAGGAAGTTTTAGCAGCAAGTGTTTTTCAAATTTTAGTGGATTTATCCGGAAAAACAGAAGTCTACTTATAACTAAGGTTTCGTGTTTTTGGATGAACTCAAATAGGATCCGAACGTTTGCCAGTAAAATTTCAGTCAATTCGGATTTATCCGAGAAACCTCGAATTTTAAGGTCACAACGGCAAAATAGATCAAATTTTAATTTTAAAAAAAGACTGTTCTTCAAATAGATTTTATAAGAGCACAAGATCAGTGGTCCTGAAGAGTGATCACTTTAATTTTCTTTTGAAATTTTGGACACTGACAAAAGAGGATTTATGTTTCAGCTTGTCAATGTTTGTCCAGGACAATGGTCCATGGTACCACTTGGTCACTGCCAAAGCCATTGTTTAAGTTTTCAGTTTGAACCATACTATTTTCACTTCTTAAAGGAAGAAAGGTAGTGTTTTTATGACAGCGAAAGCTACGAACCCTTAGATATAAATGGAGCGGGAAGATAGCTCAAGCTTTCATGCTTTCCATTGACAAACTTCCAGGAAATTAGTTATTTCAAAGTATGAACTGTCAGTGAGGCAGCACTTTTTCACGATATTTGTTGTGGGATAGTATTTCCAATGGCAATGGGCACCAACGTCAAATGCAGCTGCAGTATTATCATCTGCCACAGGAGAATTGTTGCAAATTTAGCGTATGTATGTGTCCGGGCTTTGTTTATTTTGTTTTTAAATCTTGAAAAATTGGGCCAACAGTAGAAATAAACTCTGAATTTGAGAGAATCTGAAATCTGCCCAGAATTAACTCTGGCAGACCCAGAATTTTCGGCGAAAAATGAACTCGGAAAATCCCGCTCCGAATTCCACGAGAAACAGCCTCAGACAACACAGAATCCTACTCGTAACATTGTCGAAAGTATTTCAAACCCACGGCGAAAGAATAATGCGTAAAAATTTCCGAAATGTATGCGGATTGGAAGTGTTGCAGGGTTGCCCGATGAATGGCGCCAGGGTTGTTCCGTCGCCGTAGGCGGCCATAAGCGGGTCCGGTCACACCCAAACGCTAATGCAGACCAGCCTTTAAAGAGTTTTAGAGTACCCTTAGAGCCACTACCATTGGCATGCTGAATGGCATACAGGCGAGCTAACTCCGTCTCACCCTAGTGTGGACTGTAGAAGACAGAGACATCTCGCTCACTTTGTTGACGCCTTCCCGTCGCTTGGAGTGGGCATACAACGCCAGGACACCCGTTAGTGCAAACAACCTCGGTTCAGCACAAAGCCAAGTACCATCGAATCCACTCTCACGACAGACCGACGCCTCCGTCACCGCATGACGACTATGATGGCTTGGAAGCTCCAGCACCGAATCAATCTGCGGCGATTGCGGCAGTCATCGTGTCGAATAAAGAGACGGTTGAATGCGCTAGATAAAAAACGCTAGAAACTCGACTTTATGTGACAGCAGCACATCCCCGGAACGGTCGTTGTGCCGGTGCTCGGGGGATAGGGGGGTCTGGCCAGGACCCTTCAGACTTGGCCTCGCGGTAAGAGGGAGGGCGAAAAGGAGGGCAGGACTGGCGAAGACGACAGCACTGGCAGTGGTTGGGTCCTCTCGCTACCTGCAAACCGCACACACGCACGTTCACTCCTGTCTGCATCAACATTGTGTTAGAGATTCCTGGTCGGGAAATCTGGCTATTGTTCGCACTAGTAAAAAAAAAAATTATGCCGCAAATTGCTTTCCAATTGTGTTGCTACGAGTAAAGGCCCGTTCACACTCTTGCGACCGAGTACGACTGAGAGAGACGAGATCTCTTACAACTTCTTAAATGTTTTTAGAATGAGGGAACACACTGACATTGTGGCGCCATCTATGCGGTGACCCTAGAACTGCATTTCACAAAAGCGAAGGTTTTGCGGGATTTCCGAGGTCAAATGTGCGTAATACCCATAGAAAGGCTCGCTTATAACATTGACAAAAGCTTTTCGAGCCAAAAAAGGAAGGATATTGCGCGTGAAATAAAAAAAAAATATGCCGGACCGCCGAGTTTACACTGCTTCCCAATAGATGGCACCAGTGTGTTCTCTGGTTTAAGAAGTTTTAAGGAACCCAGGTTTAAGAGGTCGCAAGCAGTCGCAAGAGTGTGAACGGGCCTTAACGTTTTTGGTTTAGTGCCAGCAACCTCCAGGCATTACTTCCCAAGCTGTTCCTTCAGGTGTTTTCACTGACCTCCCCCACATGACATCAATTTTTCCGCTAAGTTTAGCGAGGAAACTGAATTTGTGTATAGGCCACATAACATGAAGTCAAGTGACATAATTTTCCCCACTAAATTCAGCAGGGAAACTGAATTGACAATGAGGTCACATAACATCCATTTTCCCACTAAATCTAGCATGGAAACTTAGGTCCCCACAGCCCACAGCTTCATGAAATGCAGCTTCACAAAATCTGGAGCAGCTAGCCAAAGAATGTTTCACGTTAGAAAAGCATTAGAGAAATCGAATAGCCTTAAAGGGGCACTAAAGCAGTTTTGGAGATTGTTTATTTATGATCCTAGCTCAGTCTACGTTCCCTAAGCGTTCTAAACAACCCAAGATTATCGTAAACTACTGTGGAAGTGTCCACTTTGTTCAGGCGCCCACTATTAACATTTTCCAAACTTGGAAATTTTGAAAATTATACATTAAGCGCCCGAATTGACTGGACAAGCGCCCATGTCTAGATTAACCCAGTTTTCAGCGAAAGTGGTGTGATCCACCCCCCGTATTTTACGGTAGATTGTTACGCGGAAAAGTTTCCTATTAAGAACAGGATCGAACATTGCGACACGCCTGTTTTTCAGTGGTTCGGCGTAAGACCAGTCAAGATGATTCTTGGTCGGAGGTGAGGACAAAGTACTCGACTATATCCGAGCACTTCTGCCCGTCTAAAGGTCTGCAGTATGATACGCAAGTTTTTGATTACGTACGCTGCAACTCCCTCCCCCTCCCCTCCCTCCCTCCTCCTCCCCCTCCCCCTCCCCCTCCCCCCCCCCCCCCCCCCCCCCGCCCCCCCTAAATGCCAAACCAATTAAATTGCGTGAAAAGAGCCCCTATGCCACGCATTTCCACCACTACGCAACGACTACCAATTTATTTCGTATGCTTTCCACTCCACTTTACGAACGAGCGACTCTTACAATGAAAATTTCTGCCGGTCTTGTGAAGTTCCCAATACAGGCATTCAACTAAAGCCAGACATTCCAAGCCCGAACAAGTAATGTGTTATCACGCCCATCATCAGAGTTAGATTTCGAACGAGACTTACCTGTCTCGCGAAGTGGTTCGAAGCAGACGCACTAGCAGCACCCCAGCCAAGGCGGCGGCTGCGGCTCCGAGTCCGGCTCCGAGCCAAGCCGAGGCTTCCGCCGACGCTAGCCGGCTGCACATTTAAAAGACAAAAAAAGACATACCGTAAAGTTCCGAGAGAATGTTTTTCTGGCTAAATATCTGTACAGTAAAACCTCGTTATAACAAAGTTGAAGGAGCGGTCGTAATTATTTCGTTATAACCATTAGTTTGTTATAGCCAATGTCCATTTCTTCCCACTATTAGCAAGCAAGGGGTATTATGATTGCTTTGTTATATCCATTAGTTTGTTATATCCCATTTTGTTATAACGAGGTTTTACTGTAACATAAAAATTCCAAAACATCGCCCACCCCCCGGTTTCCATCGGACGTCATGCAATGCCCGACGGGAATCGCATCAACCACGCAATTTGCTGTACCGGCACGTCTGACAAGCGAGTAAAAGTGAATTCCCACGTTTTTCTCCGCGATCTGCGCACGCAATATCGGCTCCCATAACACGCGAGTTGTTCCCACGTGTATGTTGCACTGTGAGATGCGAATCTGCTGCATCCACAATCCGCAGTATCTGTTCCCGTGACATAAAATATTTAGAGGATTCCCGCGTTTTTGTCCGCAATCTGCGCATGCGATATCGGCTCCCGTAACACGCGCGTTGTTCCCATGTGTATGTTGCACTGTGAGAGGCGAATCTGCTGCATCCACAATCTGCGGTATCCGTACCCGTGACATAAACTTTTTTGTGGATTCCCGCATTTTTGTTCGTGATCTGCGTGTGCGATCCATTCTACGCAAGTTGGTCCCACGTGTATATTGCATCGTGAAATAAGATTCTGCTGCGTTTGCAATCTGCGGTATTTCTTCCCGCAACATACGAGTTTGTAGTGGATTCCCGTCTTTTTGTCCGCGATCTACCCGTGCGAAATCGGTTCCCTTACAGCCGTGTTTGTAGCGGGGCCCCGCGTGTTTATTGCACCATAAAACTTGCATCTGCTGCATCCGTGATCTGCGCTGTTCATTCCCGTGAGATGCGAGTTCTTGGCAGATTTCCGCGGGTCCTTCGCACTGTTAAATGCAAATCTGCTGTGGTATCCTTTCCCGTGACACAGGTGTTTGTAGCGAATTCCCGCGTGTTTACTGCATTGTGAAATGCGGATTTGCGGTGTCCACGATCTGTGGTATCAGTTCCTGTGTCACATGTTTTGTAGGCGGTTTTTTGATAAAGTTTTGCTGTGGCATCCCCAAAGATAGCCCACCCCACGTTTTTCACCATTTATCTCTCCATTTTGGGTGGGCGTTCTTTCGGAACGCCCACCCAAAACGGTAGGGCTCTATGGAGAAAAAAAGAGAAGAAAAGTGGAAATTTGTATGTGATGAAGGGATGTATTGACGTATGGCACAAATAACGCATGGCCCGAACCAAGAACAAGTATGAGCCAAAAAAAAAGTCGGAATGTCCCGGCGTCCCAAGAAATTTTCCTTCATTCGCTGTCATTTTCATACACGTAAAAGCATCATTATCTGAACCAAAATCAATGGTAAGAGAACAGCAATCGAATCCAAGAACTGCAGCAGCACGCAGATGGGAACCACACAACACGACACTGTTAGTGCAAACGAGCATCCTCCAGTTTTTACCATTTTTGTCTAAGAACTGAACGGCTGCCACAAGAACTACTCATGTGGTGAAAGTACACATTCAGGGAAGCCACCTAAGCGCTACAGTTTGGTGCTTACCAACAGTCTGTCAGAGTAAATTGAAGGAAAGCGCCGACGTCGTGTTCGAGCTAGCAGTGTTGCGCATTGTACATAACCTAGGCTGTGCAAACAGGCTTGTGGTTGCGTATGAAACAAAAACTTTTCTGTTACCTCTTTCACCTTTTGTTACAGATGTCCTTCAACCTTGCAGTTTGGGGTCTCAACAGCGGGGAGCAACGTACGAATAACTAGGCCGAGTTCTCGGCCTAGTTATTCGTACGTTATTTATGTGCAACGCGACGATTGGCTGTGTGTGTACCCTGTGGGAAAGCAGACGCGAGGGCCTTGCACATAAATAATGCATCTACAGTGTAGACCGCATATAACGTATGTCGCGGGAGTCGCGAAAATCCGCACTATAAGCGGTACCGCGCTATAACCAAAACATTGATACTTCAGGCCAAAATACTTGCCATGAGACAACTTACCTTTGTAAAATAATTTCTTTTATGTCAGATGAAAAATAAAGCTTAGTTTGAGGAAACTCTTTATTTCACCAGACTAGTACACTTCTCTCTCAAGTGTGTCACACATTTTGAAAGAAATGAGCGACTTTTGCCTGGGGCAGCCTTTTAACAACGTCGCGGGTTGCGGACGGACGTTGCAAGCGTTCAGGATTGCTAACCCTAATCACTTTTCACCAGTGATGAAAATGTGTGAAAATTCACATCCTTTATACGGTACGCGCCAGTAATACCTTCAACTTTAGCACAGGCATGAAATGCTCCAAATAAGAAATCCGGGCGATGTTCGAAAACACAAATGCTTAGAAAGCACCATAGTAGTCGAAGTAAACAAACACGATGACACGGGCGTTTCTGCCGTCTTGAGAGTGCCGCCACGACATCATCGCACGAGTATGTGGATCTTCCCTTCTGGTACGTGCTGGGTTATCATAGCGACACACAATGAAAATTTACAGTCAAGGATAGCGCTTCTACGCGGAACGATGAGCTTCCACCACGCCGTCTATGTCGACGATCACAACCGACGCCATGTTTGCGGATAGAAGAAGCTGCCCCACGACCAGCATGCAACACGCGCGAACACTTCTCCTCGACCTGCAATTGGTCTGTCGTTGCAGTTGTTTCCAACGCAGCGGAGGGACGCACGCACGTGAACGACACGTGCGTGCGTCCTTCTGTCGCTAAGGCGACTGAAGCCTCTCTCTTCGCTTCTCCTTGCTTCTTCGAGCAACCTCCTTGCCCCGCGAGTCCCGCTTGCGGCTAGCGGCTTTATCTAGTGTCGCACAGGGAAGCGTGCTCGCTGCGCCGGTCGGCGGGCTGTTTCAGAAACCGCACTATAACCGGTATTTCCCTTCGCGCGCCTGCATTTTAAGCGGTATTTAATTACATGGAGTTCTATGGGAGGCGAACCAGTGGTTTAAAAAAGCCGCGTTATACCGGGTCCTGCACTATAAACGGTTACGTTGTAAGTGGTCTATACTGTATTACTCGAGTAAATACGGTAATTCGTTAGAGGTTACCGTGTTTTGCACTGTCAGAAAACACAAGTGATGCCTCACCTTGTGTACCGTGAGAGCCACGGAGCCATGGGCCTCACCAACAGCACGTGGACCAGTCGACGCAAGCTCCTGCGGTGGAGACACAAACATGTCAATGCTGGGACTCTCAATTCCACTGAATCAATTTTTGAATGGCCGTTATTGGCGAGATATGACAGCGGATCGTGTGTATTTTGCCCTGTTGTTACGTCATGGTGTCATGCAGCACAACAGTGCCACAAGTCACAGTGTCACACGGCATCAATGTCACATCAGGTCCTGATGTCACATAAGGTCCTGATGTCACATCAGGTCATGGTGTCACATGACACCATGGCATCAAAGTTTTATGTGACGCCACAGTGTCGCGTGATGTCAAGCTGTCATATGGGGTCATGGCATCAATGACACAGTAATGTCATGACTTCACATGGCATTGTGGTAACGTCACAGTGTCATGTGGCATCGGTCTCATTCTATTTATATATATTTTTCACAATGCTGCAGGCCAGTTTTCTGGCTCAAGCAGGAGGAGCAAAAATATAAACACATGAAAAGGCACGTAAATGCACAATAGCATAAAATACAAGACAACAAAACAAGACCATCTTAGCCAACAACAATAGTTAAAAAATATATATACATACACCGGGTGTTCCATTTTAATTCTAACAGATTTATTACAAAACATTCATAAGATATGCACTAATACGATTTGTGCAGGTGAGCTATATGGCCAGGGGGACATTACGTGGGTGGCTAATCTTTGCGATAAGTCGGCGAATTAATTAAAATTCATTAAATAACTTTTTAATTAGTGAAACTAGACATATGGTTCCAATTAGAACATGCTGAGCGTCATCGAAAATCACTAGATCAACTCTTAATCAACTCTTTTTAGAACGACTTGAAGCTCGTGGGAAACTCGGGAGCACACCAAAGTTACCACTAGTGCAGCAGGCACAAAGCTAGCAGTGGCGGAACGTGGGTGATTAGATTATCATTGCGTTCCGCCACTGCTAGCTTTGCTAGCAGTGGCAAAAAGCAGTGCTAAGGTCCCAGTATGGTCGCTATTTAGGTCTATGGGTTGAGCAGTTTCTCATTGACCTCTCCAGTTCTGGAAAGCCCCTCCAAATTTGTGTTGACAGGTTGCTTTAAGTATCTGTATCTGATAGTGCCCTGCTAGCAGGTAGAGAAGGCACTACTTTCCAAGAATCCAGTGACTGTAGCTTGCACCAACTGGTCCACCTAGTGCACACGACGACTGCTCACCGGGTGGATAGATGCTAACGGCTCTACTCTATATAATGGGTGGCAGCTCGCGCCACCTGTACACTCACGGGTAGGCAGCCATGGTTGCCAGCTTGACGTAGACATCCCTGGAAGGCGGGACGGCGCAGGTGAACCTCTGCGGAGGAGGTAGCCCGTGGCGCCGGCAGAACTCTGCCGGCTGGATCGGGTAGTCCTGGCGCACGGCCGGCCGGTCACTCTTGGAGGCCACCAGCAGCACGGGCACCGAGCTGCCGGCCAGGTGCTTCTGCAAGGCACACGGCCGTTGGCACACCCAGACACAGCAGTCTGCAGCATGAAGCAGACTCAGCCTGCCCCAGCTTTTTCCAAGCAGACCACACAAAGATTGTAACTCTGAGACACGCTGCCATCTGCGTCTGCAGAGGAGATGATGCCTGCTTCTACAATGCAGACGGCACCAAGTTCTACAAAGTATTTGTCTGCTTGTGTTTCTGCAACGCGGACAAATACAGTGGCTTAAAGGCGGTAGTGTAGCGACCGTGTAGCCTCCACCATGCATCGCGAGTGACTTGCTATTGGAAGACGGCGGTGTAACCATGTAGAGTGTGCTCTGCTCCATAGACAACAGCCCCAGCATGGTCCCCACCACTCACCAGGTAGGCTCGTGCAACGTGCTCAAAGGACCTGGGGTTGCTGGCATCAAACAGCAGGCAGACAGCGTCGCAGTGAAGCTCGGGTGTCACCGGGGCGTCGTGCTGGCCAAACAGGTCCACCTCGTGCAGCTGCGCAAAGCACAAACGCGGCTTACGCCCACACGCCGGGACACCCAATCACAGGAGCCCTTGCAGCACAGGGACAACTGAGGCTCCAAGCTGAACACTAGGCAAGAAAGTTGGCGGGATCATCAATGCAGGGCGGCCGGCGACCTCAGCGACTTTCTCACCACGTCTCCACTTAGAGCCCCCGGTAAGGGGTGCCTAGGGCCGCTATCCCGTCTCCAATCGTGTGGGCAAGCAAGTTCAACTGCAGGCCTGCCAAAGATGTTAGGGTGTATGTGCATCTGCTACACATACACGCACTGACAGTGTCAACACAAACGAGTCATCACCAGCTTTTTCTGTTTTTCTTCTGAAACTGAATGGTCGTCCCTACAATTACGACAGTCCCTGGTAAGCTGAGAACACTGGGGCGTCTCTCTCAAATGGCCGGCCCCAGCACACGCATAGCGATGCTTTCAGAGGTAATGCTAGCTGTGGGGCAACAGTCGGAAAGCATCGAACGAGCGGACGCCTTAACCTGGATGGGTTCTACATTGACCAGGCTTCGTCCCTTCAGCCGCCGCGGCAAAATGCGGGGGCTCCTTCTGCCTCGGGGGCCGGCCGTTTCTGAGCCGCGATCAGCGGGACCGCACGGGCAGTGTCGCGCCTGCAAATGTCACCGTGCACAAGGGACTCACCCGTGCGACCGTAACAAAAGGCCACAATCGACAGGACCACGTCAGAATTGATCACAAAGCAACGCAACAATGGCACAACAAGACTGGGCCTAGCCAAAAAGAGAGTGTCAGGGGCGAGCGACCGGCGCAAATGACCGGGAGAGGACTGCCGCTGCACGCCTGAGGTGCCTGGAATGCACCTTCAACGGGTGCGTTTACCGTCCTCTATCAGCCGTGCACCAAAAGTGGTCCCCAAGCGGCAACAAAATGCCTCGCAGGAGCCAGTGTCAAGGCGAGATCGAGAGCATTCTTGGCAGCTGATTGGACGTGGCACCACAGCTAGCGGATAATTAAGCGGCGAGACAAATTTTGACCCATTCACGAGTTCACAATCGGGCAAAATCGTGGTGAGAACGTCTTACCAACGCACAAACGGTGAAAGACATCGTAGCCTCTGATGTGCTCGTCTTTAGTACTCCTTCACCCGCCAATCAACGACAGCATGTGCACGGCAGCCGAACAACTCGAGATTTGCAAACAAAGCGCGGGCTGTCAGTGCCTTTTAACGCGAAATAGCGGGCGATCACAATTACAGCCCGCATCTGATCTCCCTTTGCAGCGCCGCTCGGTTCGTAGCAGACAAGAATTTTTAAAGTGAAAGCTTTAAGGAGCTTGTGTCGCACAAAAGCCGGCATTGGTGGTGTTGGAACGGGGAAAATCCAGGATTGGTCGATAGGTTCATAATGTCACAGCCACATGCGCGGGAATTTCAAACCCACAGCGCTCAAGTAAAGCGTGACGTCATGCATGGAATGAAAGGGATTAAAACACGACATGTAATGCGAATTAAAGGTCGCTGCATGTCTCAAATGGTTTCACTTTATAAAGTAATTCATTTGCCTTAAGGAGGGCAAACTACACAGAAAAAAAAGATTTCTGAAAAAAACTTGAGTTTGAAAAATGCCATATTTACATCCGCCAACACCTAGAGATGTATTCCCAGAAAGTTTCATTTGTTTACAGTGCATACTTATATTTTCAGACCACCGATGCTAATGAAAGGTAGAGGTTTGTGCACTTTGAATGCATTCTTCTCCAATCCACCTTTTGGCATAACTCCCACCTTAAAGGGACCATGAAATGACTTTTTTACTTTTTCCACATAACTCTTACAATAAACCGTCAATGTTCACTGAATGCCGAACAGGCATCCGTTTTCGTCTCGGTTTATTAACTTCTACACAAAAAATTAATGAAATATCGACTTCTTCTTGACCGCAAAACAAGCCGTGACGTACGATGTTTCCGGAACCGGAAGTTCTCTCTGCAGTAGGGGATGGGAGCGTCAGCGAGTTGTGGTGCGCCGGTGGGTTTTACTGCGCCGATGTCACCGACGTATTTTCTGAATCGGCGCCTCTCATCGCCGCATCGCAGCTGAACGAAATTCAATGAGATACGTTGCGCTACAGCGACAGCATGGGACTAGTCCCATACGCCGGTATGCCTGTTGGGAAGTGCACATGGGAACAATTTGCCGCGGCGTTTTTCGCGGTCTCGGAGATGCAGGAGCGAGCCGACGTTAAAAAAGATACGTTTGAACTGTCAGCAAGAGCCACGTAAATACCTGTTCACACTCGGAGCGGACGCGCGCGTTTGATGAAGTGCTGTATTCGCGCTGTTGGTAAGCGCTTCGGGACCGATCTTTTACAATTGCAACTCGATACTGACGCGACACTCGGCAAAGAAAGGTTGGACCGGTATTGCACGTATACCTCCCACGAACTGTTACAGCTCGACAGTGACAAGCAGTCTGTCAGAATAAAAATGGCATACCAATAACAAAGTGTACATACCGTGCTACGAAGGTAATCCATACAGCGTTTATTTCAGCTCTATATCACACAAAACAAGGAGAGAATCGACGAGGGTCCCTTTTCGACGAGTGTTCGTCAACACTGCCTCGGAAAACAAGGGGAAGAGATTGACCTCACCTCTTAACCTAAAATTGAGGTCAGCGATCAAACTATAATACGGAAGGGTCCACAAGGGTAGCGCGGGCATATTCCATTCAGTACGCCAGCCGGTCGAAGGCAGACGGTCTTGCGACGAAGCAACGCTGCGCCGAGTCGGAGTGCCTGCTAGGCCTATATTCTGAGCTTCGTCGGAGCGGGATTCGCGGCTGTTGTCGCTCTTCTCGGGTGTTTGTGGATCCAGCGTTCTTGTTCGTCGTGGTTTGTTTTAAGTACATTTCTTTCTTGCTGCTTGAAGTCGGCACGCGCGAGATGAACACGTAGAAAAATAAACGTTCAGTCAGTCAGAGTTTTGAGAGGAAGGAAACCAAAGGAAATAACCGTTCTGAACTTGGCCCTGCCCTACTGCGCACGCGCAGTAGTTGCTTCGTTTACCACACGATAGATGGCGCTTGGCTCTCAGCATTATCAAATTTGGCAATTTTCGCCACACATCTCTAATTATGCTACAAAATGTGGATCTGAATATTATTTAACAAAACTTTTAGGAAACATTCGCCGGCTATTTATTGTTTACGATCGCGGTGCTGGTGAGGTAGGCTCTTACCCAATAGGCGATGTGGATTCGGCTGACGTGCACCGATTCTGCATATGCATCGTAGTGAAAAGGCAGAGCTTTCGAAGGAAAGAAGTCGCAAAAGAGTCCAGTTTTCTTTTAAAAGTTCTATAGCAAATAATTTTTTTTGGCTCCCTAGTCTTGTGTTTTTGTGTTCCTTTTCACACCTTTTACGACGTGCGGTGGATGAAATTCGATTTTAAAATCATTTCATGGTCCCTTTAATAAAACTATTGTTTCAGTATGAAACTATCGAGACTTAATATTTGCGTCTTATATGCCAAAAATTTATGGAGCCTGTTACTATGAACTTAGATTATGCATTTTTAAATTCCTTTATTACGAAGAATTGCAATTAACAAAACCTGGTAAATGTAAAAAAAAAAAAATTGTTTCCATAAATTTTTTTTAATGAAAAATGCATATCTTTTTTAGTTTCTTTTCATAGTAACCGGTAATAGGTATTCCAGTATGCATTCCACCAGAGAGATATGTGGCTGTCAATACCATTTCTCAACGATACATTCGTTGAGCAGATTCCATGCTTTACTTTGCACCGGGGGTATAGTATTAGTACCTCATAAAATTGGTTCACAAGGCTGTAACTTCACACGGCCCCCTATGTGGCTACAAAAAGCAACTGCAAATATCACGCCGATTGAGTAAGCAATTAAAAAAATTACATTTCCAGGTAATGTCCCCTCATAAAAAAATTTGAAGAATTTTGGGAGGGATTTGAACCCAAAACCCTGCACGACCAAGTCGCTACCGACTTGGCCGTGCAGACACGCTTGCATGGCTTAGGAATGAGCCCGGGTTTATACATTTAGCTGTAGCGTTCCACTCTTAAAGGCGGAGCTTAAGCGTCCTCCTGCAACTTTTTTTGCCAGTCTCTTGGCAGACAACGTACTAGATTTACTAGATTGCTAGATTGCTAGATTATTGCTAGATTTACTTACGTCTACGAATGATGCTTCGTAGCAGACAAAAGGCGTTCCTCGCTCGCGCTAGCGGACGAACCATCAACGAATGCTATCTTTGCTCGCCCCCCGGTGTCGCTCATGCAATGGCCAAAATCGGACCCCCGAAGGAGGTTTGGGTCCTCACCAGCAGGTACTTGTCCTGGCCGTAGACAGGCAGCCGGTCCACGGCGTACTTGGAGCCCGGGTGGGAGCCCCTGTCCAGGCCGCAGCCCAGCAGGCCCCGCAGGAAGGAGGTCTTGCCTGCCCCCTGGGGGCCCAGCACGTGGCAGTGCAGCACCTGCCGGCTCGTCTGCCGCTGCTGCACTTCCAGCTGCTTCTCCCGCGTCACTGCACGGGATCCCCAAGCGTCTGAGGACCCTCGCCCCTTGCATGACCGCGGCCGGAGCCGCCGTAGTTGCCTACAGCTTGAAAAATGCGGAACTTTTGGCTAGTGTCCCAATCTCATTGGACATACAGGGTGTCCCCCAAACAATTTACGGGGTTTTGTTTACCGCAAAAATAAACTACTGTAAACAACTACTGTAAACAATTGTCACAAATGACAAATGATGAGGCTGTGAATAATTAAAGGAATTAAACAATTAATGGGGCAAACTTGTGCCCAAAACAAAAGAGGGGAAGGCTAGAGTCGCAGGCGTCGATGTTGGCGAAACACCAGGATCGGGCGCTGGGGCAAAGCTGACACCGGCTCACCACGCGGAGCCCCTCATGTGGACGCATGGGCTTCTGGAACAATCGGCGTAAAAGGTTCGGCACATAGAACATTCTAATCTCAAATAAACAACAGGGTTCTCAAATTTACCAGAATGTAACATTACAGGAACAACAAAAAGGTGCATCCGCAGCCAGGCAATAAACCTCAGCTTTTCGCGCGGGAAGTAAGCACGATAACCGTTAGGCCACGGGCACGCTGCTGCCTACTTGGCCAGCTGCGTGCGCTGCAAAATTTCGCAATTTAGGTCTAAGCTGCAGTTCTAAAATAATTTCCGGGTTCTAATTTTAGCAAAGCGGTAGGATCTTAAGATAGATTCCAATGTGTTTATATTTTACTGAATTGTTCGCAGGACATATTTTTTTGCGAATTGTAGATATTTCGCAAAATTCGTGAAAACTAGGTTTTTGCGAAAATTAAGTTGTTTACAGTATTTGAAACATTGCTTTATTTCCATCCACAAGAATGGGACAAAACAAAAGGGAAAAACTGTGTTTTGCAGCTTGGCTAGCCCTTGGTACCGCCACAAATCAAGCAACACCAACATAAGAGAGAAAAATGTACAAAAAAAGACATCAATTAATAAAACAAATAAGCAAACAAATGTATACATTGAGCGTCACCGAACGCTCATTCCTTGTTGAAATAAAGCCGTGGCGGTCTGAACCGGATGCCAGACTTTCAAAACTAACTGCAGTCTAAGTAAAAAATTATAGGTTACTTTCTGAAAATTTAAATAAAAAAATTGGTCCCGTTTTCGGTAACCAGTGCCACTGAACTCTATGTATTATAAGGGGTCCATCAACCGCCATTTTCCCATAGAAAACTTCAGAAAATAGCTCACGACTTTTGAATAAGATGACGGTGAGTTCTGAAACTTTGGCATCTGGCTGAGACCGCTAGGCCTACATTTGGGCGCAGAATGAGCATACGGAAATGTAGTTTAGTTTTGCGGTACACCAAAAAACAAAGAAACTTAGTCAATTTTTGGGGGGGACACCCTGTACATTGGGATGCCTGGGAATTGCTAAGCCTTGCATTTCTTCAGCTGTTAGCAACTAGAGAGGGCGTTTCTAAGAAAACTTTCAAAATCTTTACGAATGGGGCGGCTGAGAAGAAAAAAAAAGACACTCTTTTCGGGAACAGAAGCTTTGCTCCCACTGTCAGCATAAAGCATGTGCAAAACGTGAGGGTGTGCCAAGTTTCCACATGTGCAGCAGGCGTAAGGCTGGCAATGCGAAAACTTGCTTGACTTTCTTATTATCTGCGTCAGCCTGCCGCATGAGTGGAAACCCTCACTTTTCACAGATGCTTTAAGCCTTCCTAATAATGGGCTTTTTGATGACGCTCGGACAGTTTCTCGTTGAAACCAGATCTTTATTTTTGCCAATAAAAAGATAATTAGTTCATTATCAGTAATTATTTTGCTAATTCGCGTGCTTCTAGAAATCCCCGACGTCCGCCGTGGCTGGAAGTTTCTTCTTGGAAAGAGTTTCTTTTCTTTCTCAAACGGCCTATTTGTAGGAATTTTGGGTCTATTTCTTTAATGCTGCTTAGGGACAGGCAAGGATCTCGTGGTCTGCGATTGCACGTTTTTATATCTTAGTGCTGCGCACGTTCTTGCACGGGCTCAATTGCGGGAATGTTTGCGTCGATTTTTGTGTACACTTTTATAATGAATATCGCATATAGCGAACAAATTTTTTCTTTCAATGCTAGTTTGTTATAAGGAGGTTCGACTGTAAATCCAAGGACACCCACATTGTCTTTCCTTGTTCCGCCGATTCTAGGCTTAGGTGGACGTTGGCTCAGAGAAAAATTTGGTCCTTCTCTTCCATCTTTAGATACTGGTAATGCCATCTCCTCAAACGTTTGCGTTCCATTCCAACCGCTACGTCATAACCTCAGAGTTTCAGCTTCCCGCGATGCGCAGTTTACTTATGCGCTCCAAAAAATGCGGTTCTCTTTTCTCAAAAACACCCAGCATTTAAAAAGGTCCGCGGTAGTCCCCCACCCCCCATTCCCGGTCCCCCTTCCAACTCGTTCGCTACAAATAATGGACCCAAATACCGGACCGCCTCTCGGCGAGATGGAGCGGACCCCAACGTGGCTGCTCACCATGCACGGCCGACAGCTGGCTCTCCTCCCCCGCCCCCAGGTAGCCCAGGTAGGCAAGGCACTCGAAGGTCTTGTGCACGTCCAGCGCCGTCGTCAGACTGCAACGCAGAGTCGCACTGGTCGGAGCGGGGACTGACAGACCTAAAGGCTGGTTCACGCGCTTTCGACCGCTCACAACCGCGAGCCTTCAAATTTCTCGCAATCACTTACGACCAGATAACACACTGGCGTCGTCTATGAGGTGGCCCCGGAACTACATTTCACTGGAGTGGAGGATTTGCAGCATTTGCGAGATCATATGTAAGTACCGTCTACGAGAAATGGTCATTTATAGCATTGCAAATATTTTTCCAGCCAATAGGGAAAAAATGATAAGCAAATAAAACCCCAGAAAATATATGAAAATTGCGAGCTTTCGATGGCTGGCCGACAGATGGTGCCGGTGCGTCATTTTGTCGTAGGAGATCGCGAGAGGGCTTCATACCTCAGCAAACCTCACTCATGAGGGCCCTCACCCACCCTCACTCGCCCTCATCTTCACAGGTGAGGCGAGGGTGAGGCAGTTTCTGAACAAAGAAAATTCATGAGTGTGAAGGTGAGTGAGGGCTGTGAGAGCTGTAAGGACCGTGAGTGTGAGCGCGTGAGGGGTGTTAGGGCCATGAGTGCGTGAGGGGCGTGAGGGCAGTGAGTGGCGTGAGGGCCATGAGTGCATGAGGGGTATGAGGGCTTTGAGGGCGGTGACTGCGTGATGGGTGTGAGGGCCATGAGTGTGTGAGGGGCGTGAGGGCAGTGAGTGGTGTGAGGGGTATGAGGGCCGTGAGGGCGGTGAGTGTGTGATGGGTGTGAGGGCCACGAGTCCAGGAGGGGCGCGAGGGCAGGGAATGTGTGAGTGGCATGAGTGCGTGAGGGACGTGAGGGGTGTGAGGGCGGTGAGGGCCATGAGGGCGGTGAGTGCGTGTGGCCCCCTTTATACGGAGCGAATTTCACAGCAATTTTGGTGTTCCTGTAGGGTTGGTCCCTAGCTTTCCCTAGACCAACACGAATTTCTGAATTCGGGTCCGGCTCGAAACAAGCGTGCAACTTGGAGCAATTCGAAGACGTTTGAAGCAGCTGCATCCAATCAGGGATGCAATATTTTCACGTGAAACCTCGTGCCAGTGATGATGACAACAAAAGACTTGGTTCTGGTTTGAAATTGATTGTTTTTGGAAATAAACTGTTTCACAAAAGATGCATTAGTATTCTCAATGAGATTTAAATGCCTAAAAACACGTTTATAGCGCGAAATTATGTGTCTAAATAGTGCAAGAAAAATCAAATTTCATGATGGTGCTGGAAAATTGCAGCCAATGGTTGCTGCGTGTGACCGTGGGCGGCCCATGTTTCTGGTGTTGCGACATCAAGTTTCTGGGCGAAATTGCCCCATCTGAAGCGGGCCTGAGTGGCGTGAAGGCCATGACAGTGATGTGATTGGCCTAAGTCATTTTGGAGCACCTTTTGGAGCAGCCAAAACTGTGTTTTGGAGCAGCAAAAGTGGATTTAGGAGCAGCCAAGACAGTGTTTCGGAGCAGCAAAAGCGGCTTTTGGAGCAGATTTTCTTACAAAAATAAATATATTCGTGCTGTACAAAAGAAGGACACTTTGTGTTGTGTTGTGTTCTGACGTGACGTGTTGTGACGGAACTCGCTGCTTGTGTGTTTAATGTTGAGACATCCCACAAGTGTGCAGTGCTGTAGGCGTTGCCGAGCAATTCTGAAAAACCGCTTGCCACCGTTTTACTGGTTCCCGACGTGCCAGACTTTCTTTAAAAGTAAGCAAACGTAAAACAATGAATTGCAAGCGTCCCGACAAGTGCCTCTGTCGTGCAATCATGTTTACATGCACGTGAGGGCAACTTCGGCAGGCTTGCAGTTGCGCGTGCTTCGTTGCGCGAGCGGAGACGACGGCTGTTCGATCGAAACCGAAATCATGCCACTCCGCTCCGTCGCCAACTGATTCCCGAAATTGCATGCAAAATGTAACTGTCGAGCATACGACGAAAAAAATCCAGCGGTGCGTTATTGCCAGGCCGGCAAAAAATACAAGTTAAAAAAAAAAAAAAACGGGTTAATCAATGCAAGACATGGCGCGCGGGGTCAAAAAGTTTTTTGAGCACTTTGTGCAACAACTGAACTCGACACAAACAAGTGCGCTGTGCGGGTTCAGCTTGGGAACATTGCCTTCTTTGCTTTAGCTCACTTCTCTTCACCAACTTTCTTTTGTGGCAGATTTTTCACGTACCGGGGTCCCTCTCGAAAGAAAGCTCACCGAGAGAAACCTATAGGTAATCAATAATTCCACACAGCAGTCTTCAAGTTACAGATAGCTTTGTAGTAACGTATGACTTAAACAAGAACAGGAATGTTGACGAACATGCGGCGGTACTTAGTTTCATTTTTAGAAAGCACCATATCTGCAGCGACGTGGGGATGGCACCACCCAACGCCGCGCGACCACATTGAATGGAAAGCGGGGACCAAATACCGTTATTCCACGGCTATTGCTTTGAGGAGCGAGTGCTTCAGCTCACAAAATAACTCCTGCCGTGCAAAAACGTGGTTTCGTTTCACAGCATGACGGCATGGCTGGTACCTGGCACACTAGCGTCGGAGCATTCGCACACACCCGCGTCTATTCAAAATATTTGAAAAAAAAAAAAAAAAAAGACACGAGACGAGATTTACGAGACGACGAGAGCGCGAAACGCGAGACAGCGGAAAAACTATGCAAGACCGGGCGGGGGATTGATGCAGGGTATTTTGTGCCGGGTGCCGCTTGCGCCACATGACACATGCATGCTCAATTACGGTACTTAGTTTAGTTTCAGTTTTGAAAGGCGACCAATATTTTTTTTTTTGCGCAGGCTTGGCGCAGATTACCCGTATATTGGCGCAATTGGTGCACCAATCACATCACTGCCATAAGTGCATGAGGGTGTGAGGGGGTATGAGTGCGTGAGGGGCCGTGAGGGCGGTGAGTGCGGGAGGGCTAAGAGTGCGTGAGGGCCATGAGGGCAGTGAGCGCATAAGGGGCGTGAGGGCCATGAGTGAGTGAGAAGCATGAGGGTGGTGAGTGGCGCGAGGGCGGTGAGGGGCATGAGGGTTATGAGTGAGTGAGGGACGCGAGGCCGGTGAGTAGCGTGAGAGCCATGTGTGTGAGGGGTGTAAGTGCGTGAGGGCAGTGAGGGCAGTGAGGGGCGTGAGGGCCATGAGTGAGTGAGGGGCATGAGAATGGTGAGTGGCGTGACGGCAGTGAGGGGTGTGAGGGTTATGAGTGAGTGAGGGACGCGAGGGCGGTGAGTAGCGTGAGAGCCATGAGTGCGTGAGGGGCGTGAGGGGTATGAGTGCGTGAGGGCCGTGAGTGCGTAAGGGGCGTGGGGGCCATGAGTGAGTGAGGGGCATAAGGGTGGTAAGTGGCGTGAGGGCGGCGAGGGGCATGAGGGTCATGAGTGAGTGAGGGACGCGAGGGCGGTGAGTAGCGTGAGAGCCATGAGTGCGTGAGGGGCGTAAGGGGTATGAGTGCATGAGGGCCGTGAGGGCAGTGAGTGCACGAGGGGCGTGAGGGCCATGAGGGTGGTGAGTGGCGTGACGGCGGTGAGGTGCGTGAAGGTTATGAGTGAGTGAGGGACGCGTGGGCGGTGAGTAGCGTGGAGGGGCGTGAGGGGTATGAGTGCATGAGGGCCGCGAGCGCGTAAGGGGCGTGGGGGCCATGAGTGAGTGAGGGGCATGAGGGTGGTGAGTGGCGTAAGGGCGGTGAGGGGCATGAGGGTCATGAGTGAGTGAGGGACGCGAGGGCGGTGAGTAGCGTGAGAGCCATGAGTGCGTGAGGGCCATGAGTGAGTGAGGGGCATGAGGGTGGTGAGTGGCGTGAGGGCAGTGAGGGGCGTGAGGGTTATGAGTGAGTGAGGGACGCGAGGGCGGTGAGTAGCGTGAGAGCCATGAGTGCGTGAGGGGCGTGAGGGGTATGAGTGCGTGAGGGCCGTGAGTGAGTGAGGGCCATGAGTGAGTGAGGGGCATGAGTGAGTGAGGGACGCGAGGGCGGTGAGTAGCGTGAGAGCCATGAGTGCGTGAGGGCGGTGAGAAGCGTGAGGGCCATGAGTGCGTGGGGGCCGTGAGGGGGGTGAGGTTCAGTGAGGGTGAGTGAAGGACTGAAGGTGAGTGTGACAGTGAGGATGAGTAAGGGGCTGAAGGTGAGTATAGCTGTGAGGGTGAGTGAGGGGCTTAGGTGAGTGTGGCTGTGAGGGTGAGGGTGAGCGAGGGCGACCTAAAATGCCGTATTCTGGAGGGCGTAACGCACTCGATCGTAAAAAATCGCTAGTGCGTGAGCCAGCCATTTAAAGTGCCAAGAACCGTTGTTGCACAAACACGCGAAACACGTGACACGAGCGGGCGCTGCGTTGCCTCTCACTTCCAAGGTCCGCACAAGGCAAGGACCTCGTCCACACCCCCTAGAAGACAAGGCCCGCGCTCGGCGTCATCCTTAGTGGATCCCCGATTTGCCCGAAGTGGCAAAAACGCCCAAACTCCACGAGAGTATGCCGCAAAGTGGCAGACGCACATGTCTCGGTGTCGCCAGGTGCTATCATTGTTTATGCAAACGCTGCGAGAGGTGCCAGCGGCGACGTGAATACAGGCTAGGTGCGTGCCTCATCTTCTAGGTGGTATGCAGAGCGCAAATTCGTTTGCTTCTTTTGCGGGGGTTGTGCTGACGTCGGAATGCAGGGCTCCGATTGAAGGACGGCGGGTACACTTCGAAGCAAGCTGCCTCGAGGTCTACCCCCTATCCTTCAATCAGGACCAATCGGAGCTCGGCGTTTGGACATCACCACGATCCCCGCAAAAGAAGCGGACGAACCGGCTCATTTGACGCTGCTCGTCGAACAAAAGCTTTTAGGGGCTGCACTCACGCCCAGTGTGCCAGGTAGCCCTGGAGGGTGAGCCATCCCCGGTGGTCGGTGGCCACGGTGCCCACCAGGTCGGGGGCCCATGGGGAGCACGGGCACACTCCAAACAGGGAGCGCAGCTCCACGGGGGACAGGCAGCCGTCCTCGTCCTGCAACCCCGCATCGACCCCGAGACGCGCATCAGTGTCGCCGATTTAGCGCCTTTCCCGCTAAATGTTGTGGTCTTTTCATTTGTCTGGTGAGAGAAATTGCCGTTTTGCGGTTGGCGGAATTTTTACCAGTTTTTGAGTCGTGCTGGCGTTTTACCGACGGTCTCAAATGTTCTCCAGTTTGCATTAATCGGTCGTAAATAGCTTAGTTTTTGCGGTAAACTAGAATCGTAAGGTCATTCTTTATGCTTACTGAACAAAATTGTTGCGAGTGAAAATAATGTTTGTGATGCAACTAAGATATTATGGTGGCAAACATTGAAACATGTTTTCATTTGGTTTGGAAGTCAATGTAAGAGTTCATCTTTTGGGTCTACCAGACGACATGGGCCAACTGAACAACCGTAAAATGCTGAAAATCCGCCCATTAAACAATAAGTGCCCACCACCGAATTTTGCAACATTAGGAAAATACACAAAGTGCATACCTTTACATATTGTTGACCTTAGGAGCGCCCATCCCCCAGTTATACATGATTATCTCTAAATTTTTCGTGGGTGCTTGTTCAGGATTTTACGGCATATGCAACAATTTAGAAAAAATGGGGGCTAATGGATTCTAAACTTTAAGAGTGGTTACTGGAAGTTCCAAGCGACACCGGACCAGTCAGGTATCTCTACTGGAGATCGGAACTTTTTGAAAAGCATGTGAATTCGGCTGCTGAAGCAAATATTGCCAGCAAATATTGCGCAAAAAATCAGAACTATAAAGATGTATATGAGCAGGTATGGCTAGGCAACACACCTGGTGAAAGTAACATCATGCAGCGGACACCATTCTGTGCAGGCAAGCACTCTGAGTCAACCAGGAGAGCTCCCTTCAAAGGGTTCTTTTACTTAATGTAATGTTTTTAGACTAATTATACAGTGAAGCCTGATTATATAGAACCCAGTATTTAGGATTATAGTCTCCTTCGAACATTTAAGACATTCCTTTCAAAGCCCCGTGTAAAAATATAGGTGCCTTGTGCTTCTGTATTGAACTCCATCACCCGGGACCTCCAACACATTGAACCGTGCGCAGCACTCTTGGTAGGTAGGCTCTCCCCACACACTGCCATTGCGGCTCTTGTAATCGGTTTGCACGTGCCGAGACTTTGCAAAGAAAGCCATAGCGCGCACCAGCAGTTCCTCTAGCTCCGACCGCAAGTAGCGAAAAAGACAAGGAGGCAGAAAGGAAAGACGGCACTCTGCCTTGACTCCTTAGTCCCCAAATAAAAAAATGATGACAGTCCGCGACTAAAGAAAATTATATTACTCGAGCTTCTCGACACCGTGTTATTACAGTGGAGATTATAGACCTTTCCAAACAACCGCATCTCCACGTGGTGAATGATGTTGATTGGGGCGAAGCTCTGGTGGTGCTTGTCTGCGTAGATGCTGAGCCACAGCATGCCGAGCCTTTCATTCGTTTTCATCCATGTAACGCTGCGATCAAATGCCCAAATGCGTACATAACCACGTTCCATACCACACATTCTCATTCTGACATGGATGCAAACGAACGAAAGGCTCGGCATGCTGCGGCTCACCGTCTATGCAGACAAGCACCACCAGAGCTTCGCCCCAATCAACATCATTCACCACGTGAAGATGTGTTTTTTTTTTTTTGTCTTTTTTTGCCTTACACGAGCACGAGAGAATGTGCTCACGTGCTCGTGAGCACGAGCACCCGATGCCGGACAACGGACAGACATACGGACATGGCTAGCGCCCAAGGAGCTTCGCCCCTAAAATCTGCGGCGTTGGAGTTTGGCTCACAATGAGCTTCAACGGCGAGCCCGACAAGGAGGCCCCCCCTGCACCCCGCAGATGCGGGACGGCAGGCTCGCACTTGCCTGGTCGTGCTTCTCGAAGAGAGCAGTCACAAACTGGAAGCCCTTGGAACTGAGTTCCGTGCTGCTGCCGGGCGGCACTCGAATCCTGAAATCGGAAAGGAGAAAAAGAAATGCGGGAGTCTGGCACGTTCGAGTGCAATTTGTCATAGGAGACAGACGGGCTTCCAAACGGTCAGATGTTATTTCTGCGACAATGATCTCAATCTTCAGCAGCTTGGTTTTCACTAGGTCCTCGATTCTTGGAAATCCGAAAGACGACATGCAATTCCCGCGTCCAAATGAAAAGAAAATTATTCTAAGCTTGAAAGAAACTTATAACAAACGCTGCCCAAAACAGCAGCTAGATTGCGTAGCAATCACGCGGGTCATGTTGCTAAATGAAAGCAGTACTCCTTCGAGTTGACAGATCCTAAAATGCACCCCTGATGTTTCGGTCTGACTAGGAAGGAAAAGCCTCAGCAATCAGCGCGCAAGTGTTTGTCGCTGCACGACATGCTGTCTCCAAAACACGAGGATTCAACAACGGTGGTGACTGCATAGCCTTGGTAGTTCACAAGAACATCGACAAACAATGCGAGAAAAAAGAGTTCCACAAGTTGCCTTCCTTCGTGTGTAATTGCACATGCCCGAAACACTCTCCCCCAACACAGCGCCAGTTTGTCGTGGTCAGCACGCCTGCATCATAAGTGGGAGCCATAGATTCCAAACAGGCAGGGGCCGACATGTTGCACTAATCTTACGACGAGAGTTATCCCGGGGACTCCCCAGCTGCATTCGTGGCGGTGTCATTGTGCCAGGCAGGAAAACTTGGCGGACACTTAAGCTTCGTCTTTAAGAGTGGAATGCGATAGCGTTATCGGGCCCCGTTCACATCGCCTTCTCATTCGCCTTGCAAGCGTGCCTTGCGTGGTAATCAGCAGTATGTCTGGCTCACAACCAAAGAGTCCTGCGTTCGGATGCCGCCTAAAATTTTTCAAATTTTTCTTTAAGGCAAATTAATTACTTTATAAAGTGAAATCATTTGAGACATGCGGCAACCTTTAATTCGCATTACATGCCATGTTTTAATCACTTCCATTTTGCGCGTGACGTCGTGCATTCCAAGTGTGACGTCAGGAACATGAATTGAAGAGATCACACGACAAGGAACGCTAAACCATGCATGCTTTGCTTTGGCCGCACAGGGTAGCATCATATTGGGGATCGCGACTGCTGCGCCGCGACTCGGTTCTGAAAAGAAGCTTGGGAGTTTCGGTACTCTGGGAACATTCAGTGACTTCAGTGGCATCTTTGGCTCAAGTTTGGCACTTTGGCAGTTATGTGGTGAGCCAAAGAAAAGTCTGGAACTAACCAATGCCTTGGAGCAAGACTGGCCCAAGTTAGGGCCCTAGGATTGCCAACCTTGTGCCAAGCTAGGCGCTCCTGTGGTGTGCTACCTGGGACAGCGGGAGGTGTGGGTCAGAAGCCAGTGGGGCACTCACGGAGGGCAGAGGTACTCTCGCGGCAGCACCAGCTGGTCGTCGTAGCCAAACTTGCGCAGCACCGTCCACGTGGTCTCATGCCGGCCCCGCTGGATGAACACCATGTGCAGGAAGAGGAACCCTGCAAGAGCAGGAGACGCTGTCAAAGTGTCTGCCAGACTGCTTCTTTCAAACTCCCTCACTTTTCTGCGTTTTTGCCCCGACTATTTCGAATGAATTCCACGACCACTGTCAAAGTTGCGCATCAAATGGTACGTGCAATCTAGCCAAGTGTGCGAAACTCCAGTTTTGTGATACCAATGCGCGTAAAACGAAAAAGCTATCGCGTGAACCGTGCAAAGAGGTGCGACTTTTATACAAACATTTCTGCGAAAATGGCTCAATATACGGATGTGCGACTTATAGTCCGGAAAATACGGTACTCCAAACAACTTTATTTTCGCATTAATTGGGCAAAGTGTAAATTCCGGGAATGTTTCGTGGGAACAAAATTTTGCGATGAGGGTGGCGTGCTAGCTATCGGTTACCGCAGGAAAACATACTCGCTGGCTCTATTTTTTGCGATGTCATTTGAGTCGCAAAATTTGCAAAAATAAGGTTCCTGCAAAAATTAGGTCGTTTCCAGTAGCTTCGACTCACCATCCAAGGTAAGGCCGTCGCGTTCAACGCCTCCCTCCAAGTTTTTGGCCACGATGGCTTTGAGGTCCTGCAGCGCTCTGGGCTCCAGGGGAGTGTTGAAGCACCTTCGCTGTAACCGTAAAGCAGCGAGTCATTATGTTCATAAAGATACTTACAAATTCCCATTCAGTATTACCACATTCTCTGGACTATACATCCTTTAAAGCTAGAAGGAAATGAGGTGCAAATGATCTGTAGGTGTGGATCATACCAGGATTTGTGTTTTCAAGATTGTTCATGGTGACGACACGTGACAGATTTTGCGATTGACAGATTATGTTAAAAATAATTTTTGTATGATATAAGGTGTGCTGTTTGTGCGATTTTTTCACATTCAGAGTATGCAGCAGGTGGAGACTATGCTCTGGTAGCACAAATTCTGCCCCTGGAGTCAGAGTTTTTGGCACGGGACAATTTTATGCAATGATATCTCTCTACTGAAATATAAATAGCTTTATAATGCACAAATCTTTACCTACCAATCCATACCACTCAAGAAAGACAAATAAATTTTCAAAAGGGACTCAATGACCTTTAAGAAATAACCTAATCAGGCTTTTATATTATTCTTGTATCTCAATCACTAAGGTATTTTAAAACTAAATCAACACTTCAAAAATGAAAGAAGAAACAGATACACATAGTAATTTGCACTAAAATATCCAAATAAATTTTAGAAAATATATTATGGGACCAATGTCTCGTCTCCCCTTAAAGGGCAATTCCGGTCGAAAACGAGACCAAAATAAATGCCTGGTATTGCTTCAGTAGCACGAAATATGATCACAGCCTAAATATTATGTCAAAGTGAAGCCGGTTTTAAAGATGCGACCACCTGCTCTTCAGGAGGCGGCAAGCGGGTTAGTTTTTAGTCAAGGAACACTTTTCGCAGCAGCCTTGTGACATCACGGTGCGGTGGAGTTGCGGTTGATTGATTGTATCGCGCACAACAGCACCAGTGTGACGTCACGTCGCGGCTGTACGGCTGATGATCGGTGTTGCCATCCCTCTAGCAGATAGTTTTGGTTTTGCCGTAGATGCACAAAACCAAACTTGAGCCATGATGCTCATAAAACTACACACAATATAGAAAAAAAAATTATACCTAGTAATTTAGGGACACTGCCTTAGCTAAAAACAGTCGTAATCCTGAACTAAAAAAAAATTCACCGGAGTTTCACAAATGCAAATGCAGCGTTGTTGTAGCTACTTTGAGCTAAATATTTAAAAAATAAGATAATGACTATTCATCCAATTAATGCTGTACGCTGCATGACCTACGTGTCCCATGGGCATTAAGAAATTCAGACTTTTTACAAAGGCCAGACCAAATTAAGCATCTGGCAAGCATATTAGCGATTTCTGCCGACTTGGCTACAGCTGGGTAGCAAATCAGTACACCATTTCTGAGGATAAAAAAAACATTTTCGAGATATCTATCAACCCCAAGTTCAGAAACAAGGTCTTTGGAAATTTACGTAGCAAGGAACGACTGACAACTTTCACACAGTCGAACGGCTACGTCTTCGAGGTGTCTGGCATATCAGTTCTGCACCTGGGAATATTTGCTGCCTTCGAAAACTGTCGGCTGAAATACTCGGCCGCGCTGGACTGCTAAACATTTCCGCACGCTTTTCGCGAGAAAATGTTATGAACCCAACGATCAAAAAGGCTCACCACACGCTTGTAACTGCTCACGACCGAGCGTTTTCCAAATCAAAAGTTTTTCACACCAATAAGGAAAGAGTGATTCAGGGAAAAAAAAGAGGAAATATACGGAAGTTGCGATTGTTCGAAGGCTATCCAATAGATGGCGCCAGTGCATTGTCTTGTCTGATCACAAGAGGCCATGCAACACTCGCGACTTTTGTATATTTCCTCTTTTTTTTTCCTGCATCACTCTTTCATTATTGGCTCGAAAAACTTTTGGTAATGTCATACAGTCGCCAAAAGATTTTTCAGACACCTGTAATTCAAACTTGTTCAATATTTTGGACCTAAAGGAGGAACCATGACCTATTCGATAGAAGTAGTGGATATTAACGACCAAAGTTTCGGACAGAATTTCAAATATGAAAGATTAATTTTTCGGAAAAAAATTGTCGCGAGCGATCGGCGGTAAAGACAGCCGAAAAGCCGCCATTTTAGATTCTAGGTATGCTGGCTGCACATGGATTGACTCGGTTTGGCAGCGCTACTTGAGTACTGGTAAGTCCTACCGCTAGGTGACACTATACGGGTCTTTTTTCTCTAGCTGCGCGTCATTATCATTATCATTGTTACCAGTTTGCTTTGTTCCTTCGCCATTGCAGTTGTGGACTTGCGCCTCTCGTCTTGTCTCATCGAATCATATTTTTTGACTACGCTGGCTTGGACGTCGTGGCCCCATCTGTTCTTCCATCGCCACAAAATGTTGCTAAGAAACGCGAAAGGTACTCGACCGTAACGCTAGAGAAGAAGGCAGCGATTCTCAAGCTAACAGAAAATTGCCGAACGCAAATGGAGGCGTAACGTGAAACAGAGGCGCAGGCGTAACCTGAAGCAAGGCACTATTGACGGCTTTTCTAAGCCCGCTTAGACGTAATTGAGGTGACTTTTCTCATCTGCTGATTTCTTGGACTGCTCTATTATTCGGACATTTCTACGATTCTTTCGAAGTCCGAAAAATTGGGTGGCAACTGTAAACAACCATTTTCATAAATAGTAGGTACATTTGATTTTGCGCTAGTGAAATGCGGTTCCAGGGCTGCCTCACAGATGGTGCTAGCATTGTTCTCTCGTCGTAAGATATCGCGAGAGGTCACGACGCACTCCACAACCCGAAAGAACCAAGAGAAAGTCAAATGTGGATGTTCCACCTCCCACGCCAACGAAGGGCGTCTGGCAATTTTCCGGTGGAAGACCGAGGAATAACTTTGCCCACCCGGGGATCTTTTACTGTGCAACCGAAATCTCGGTCACGCGGCGCCTTCTCCGCAGTGAGTCTCCGTCAGATTGCGGGCAAATGTCACCGTGGGGCGACATCATTTGTTGCCACCCCGGGACCACTTTCGATGCATGGGCAGAACGGGACGCTAAACACACCGGTCGGGAGAATCGTTCCATGGCACCGCACCACTGGTGTGGCACGACACAAACCTGAAACTGGTTCAGCTCCTTGTCACTGAGTACGCCGTCATTGTCCGAGTCGCAGATCCTGAAAACCCTGGTCAGCGCCGTCTTGCAACGGTCTGTCAGCTGAAACCAAAAGCCTTTGTCAGCATGAACTTGAAACATGGCGACCCGAGACTAACAAAACATTTGTGAACAACGCCATCAATCCATCCACGTCACCATCATGCTCTTGAAGAACAGAACGCTTAACATTTTAAATGACCCTTGTTGAGCAATCCAATCCACTGGGCAATCCAATTCCCAAATGACAGTCAAATCCACACTTGTACCGTTAGCAACAAGTTACAATTATAATTACTCCCAATAAAAAAGGTATTAAATCAAGTATTAAATCAAGTTATTCAGCTACTCAAAAGCAAAAGTAATGAAACAACTTCTTTAAAAGTAGCCACTATCCTTTTAACATTTTAAAAAATGATGCAGATCCAGTAACTCATTTTAGTTTGTACGAATATTTTAGTAAATGTAAACCCTCGCAAATGAAAGCCTTAGTTGCCAAATATTTGCTGCTTATGCGCGTCTTCTTATTTTCTTGCATCAGCATCCTCTAAATAAAGATCTTAAGATGGTGGAGATTTCTTGAAATGATTTTAATACATAAAGACTTCAACTGTGCTAGAAAGTCGATTACTACCGTAATATCCTCAGTCGTCGCCCACCCCCGCCGCCTGAAATTCATAAAAAAAAAGTGGGGTGGGCCATGTCCCTGTGGGTGAGCACAAAAAGTAAAGCAAAGCAAAAAAAAACAAAAAAAAAAAACGCCCATTTTTTTGTGCGTATTTAGCGCAGCTGCACAAGAGATACATTAAACTCAAAACTCGAATTTGTTTTATTGTTTTATATAAAAAAATTGCTCATGAAAGAATGTTTTACTATTGCGCACACCACCGATCGACATACAGCACAAATGATTATTGTTGTTAATACAAAAAAAAAAAAAAAGTTCCCAAGAAAAATAGAAAAACCAACCAGGCGCAGCGAGTGAGCGGACCGAGGAAGCGACGAAGAGTGATGCTGGCAAAGCGGGAGAGCTGGCGATCGCGTTGGAAAACACCAGGAAATTATGGATCGTTCCCCATTTTTATACTAATTACATGCTTCAAACCCTCATTCCTAACTCGCCCACATTGCTTAACAGATTCGTCCTCGACCACATTGATATTCATTGTTTAACTAAAAAAACAGGGTGCACAGAAAACGCAAAACATTGAATTGCAAGAGTCCCGGCTGGAGCCTCTGTCGTGCAATCATGTTCACATGCACGTGAGGGCAACATCAGCACGCTTGCAGTGGTACGTGCTTCGTCGCGCAAGCGGAGACAACGGCTGTTCAATCGAAATCGAAACAATGCCACTCCGCTCTGTCGCCAACTGGTTCCCAAAATAGTATGCAAAATGTAATTGTCCAGCATACGACAAAATAACAGTCACGCGGTGCGTGCAAGCCAGGGTCAAAAACTTCTTGGAGTGTTTTGTGCAACCACTGAACTCGAGACAAACAAGCGCAATGTGTGGGTTCAGCATGCAGACAACGCCTTTTTTTGCTTTAGCTCACTTCTCTTCACCAACTTTCTTTTGCAGCAAATTTTTCACACAGCGGGGTCCCTCTCGAAAGAAGGCCCACTGAGAGAAACCTATAATAATCATTATTTCGACAAGCGGTCTTTGAATTAAAGGGACACTTCAACAAAATTTGAAAAACACCCGTCGTGTTCAGAAATAGGTTGAACATGATCCACAATATCCGTAAATGATAATTGCACGTTTGTGTTTCGAGCCTGCGGGCTCTATTTTTGGTTATAAACAGCCCACTCTGGCAAGCACTCGGAGAGCAGCCAGCGGTGAGCCCGTGACATTCGCCGCAATCGTGACGTAGTTCGTCTCGGAACGAGCAAAGCTTCGGCGAGGCTGATGTCGAGAGGATGTCCTAACGGTTCCAGCCACCAAAGTGGCTGCTTTTGTAAGAATTTTGAGTGACGGGTTAATGTTCCCCTTTTCTCTCGTGGTGGCCGGAGGCAAGACAGTTATCATCACTACCTGTCAAAGTTCCTAGACGGGCATTACAAACGAGGCGTTGGCGACAACCACCAGGTGCTCTTTGCTAACCGTTTAATTTGTCTTAAAATTCCTTTTCATACCTTTTCAACAAGAGATTGATATGTCTGATCTGATAGAGCTCCCTTGAACAGGAATAGACCGAGAGATAAGCGCCGAAATTTCGTTGCAGTATCCCTTTAAAAAGGGATTTTTGTAGTACAGTATGATTTAAACAAGGACAGGAATGTCGATGAACAAGTTTAGAAAGCACCATATCTGCAGCGATGTGGGGACGGACACACGACCAGCACTGCCGTCCCCACGCTGAAATGCTGGTCGCGCGACCAGCGTTTTAGCTCACAAAGCAATTCTCGTGGCGCAAAAACGTGGTTTTGTTTCACAGCATGACAGCATGTCTGGCACCCGGCACACTAGTGTTGAAACGTCCGCACATGCCCAGGTCTATCGTTGAAAAAGTTTAAAAAAGACGCGAGACGAGATTCCCGAGATGACGAGGCGCGAAACGCGAGACGGCGGCAAAAACCATGCACGACCGGATGGATGCAGGGTACTTTGTGTCGGGCAGCTGCTTGCGCCACCTAGCTCACGCATGCTCAATTACAATGTTAGTTTAGTTTCGGTTTTGAAAAGTGATCGAAATTGGTCGTTTCACGCAGGCTTGGCGCAAATTACCCATATTTTGGCAAAATGTAGCAGGATGCAGCAGGGTTAGCACCTTGGCGTAGTTTGTCGCAATTGGCGCAGCAATCACATCCCTGGTATGTACAAAAACACCCTATCTCCTAGGCACAAATTTGTTCTAATTAAGTTCAAAAAAACCTCAACACTCCACTCTTGACCGGGAGTTGTTGTGCAGAAAAAAAATGTCTATTCCAAGTCACAAATGACTTTTGCGCCTTGTACAGGGTGTCTCAAAAAAGATTTTCAGAGTTTCCGTCACTGCGAAGATAAACTATGCATCGCCGAATGCTCATTCTCCGCCCAAAGGTAGAGCTAGAGGTCACAACCAGATGCCAAAGTTTCAGCCCGATCTGATGACTTAATCAAAAGTTATAAGTTATTTTCTGAAAATTTCAATGGGAAAATGGTGGGTAACAGAGCTCTCGAATGCATGGAGCTCTACAGCGCCAGTTACCGAAAACGGGCAAAAATGGGCCTCATTCTCTCATTGAAAAATTCAGAAAATCATTTATGTATAACTTTTGAATAAAATAACAGTTGGTACTCAAACTTTAGCGTCTGGTTTGAACCTCTAGCGCCACATTTCGACAGAGAATGAGCATTTGGCAATGCAGTTTATTTCTGCAGTGAAGAAAACGCAAATTTTTTGGGGGGGACACTCTGTAGATCGCGTTACGGTCAGAATCTCGGCAAGCATAGATTTGTAGTCGGTGCTCCAATAAGTTTAAAGTTTGCATTTGTATTTGGATCAATCAAACCGTCGTACGCAGAATTGCGTATAACGGTTTGGGTAGCTTCGATAAGAATGCGCATTAGTAAAATGGAGAGAGGGAAAGACTCACGTCCCTCTCCTGGGGCAGGTAGAGGGGCCCCGTCGGGTGGAGCACCGCCTTCTGTGCGTAGTAGAACAGCTCAGAGATGTTCTTGAACGTCTTGGCCGAGCACTGCACGAGGCACCACCTTCCTTCTCAACAGAGGCACAACAAAAAACAAAAAGGCCAGACAAAAAAGTACAAGAAATCGCCCTTTTTCCAACATTATCGTAGAAAAAGAAGTTGACAGCACAAAATGTGATGAAGCGTCGAGCTACGTTTCGTTTCAACTAAAATCTGGATGCGGCCGACGCTACGAGCCGATAAGACCAATCGAACAGCTTCAAAAGCGCAAGTCACTTATTATTCCCTGTACACAATTGGTTCACCGATGATAGAATGCATACAGAAACGTGTCCAACGCCATGTTGGTGCACTTTCGACGCTGTTCGATCGGTCCGATCTGGTTGTAGCGTCGGCTTCACCGAGACTTCAGGCGAAACGGAGAATAGACGAAATGGCAGAGCCACTGTTTCCGGGGCTGTGGCAACTCTGGCACCTCAACTCTGGGATCGAGACACATTCGAACACAGATTTGTGAAAGAGATGCGCCATTACTTCCTCGTGAACGGCCCTAACCAGGAAATGCGCGCAAACAAAGAAAGAAGAAAGAAAAAATGAAAGCCGCTTACAACTCCCTGTAACGCCGAATTAGAGCGCAGCTCTTGAGGAGGAGGAGGGAAGGGCACTGGGGGGGGGGGTTAAACTAACCAGGGGGGGGGGTCACGTTACCTTGGGGGTCACGTGACCCCCAATGCCGATGATGTCATCACTGACGTCACTGATGACGTCATCAGTGACGATGACGATGCGGGTACCGATGACGTCATTAGTGACGTCACTGATGACTTCACCAGTGATGACGATGACGATGCGAATGTCGGTGACGTCATCAGTGACGTCGCTGATGACGTCATCAGTGATGATGACGATGACGATGTGGATGCCGGTGACGACATCAGTGACGTCACTGATGACGTCATCAGTGATGATGACGATGACAATGCGGATGTCGGTGACGTCATCAGTGATGATGACGATGACGATGTGGATGCCGGTGACGTCATCAGTGATGATGACGATGACGATGTGGATGCCGGTGACGTCATCAGTGATGATGACGATGACGATGTGGATGCCGGTGACGTCATCAGTGATGATGACGATGACGATGCGGATGCCGGTGACGTCATCAGTGATGATGACGATGACGATGTGGATGCCGGTGACGTCATCAGTGATGATGACGATGACGATGTGGATGCCGGTGACGTCATCAGTGATGATGACGATGACGATGCGGATGCCGGTGACGTCATCAGTGATGACGATGACGATGTGGATGCCGGTGACGTCATCAGTGATGATGACGATGACGATGTGGATGCCGGTGACGTCATCAGTGATGATGACGATGACGATGTGGATGCCGGTGACGTCATCAGTGACGATGACGTCATCGGGGGGTCACGCGACATCGGCGGGGGTCACGTGACCTCGAGGAGGGGGCCACGTGACCTCAGGGGAGTCACGTGACTTCGGGGGGTCACGTGACCCCCCACGAGGTCACGTGACCTTGGTGGGGGGCTCGCGCGGTGCATTATGGGACATTTCCCATGATGCACCGCGCGGTTACGCCGACGCCGACGGCAACGGCGACGGCGACGCCGCTCAAGCCGGAAACGGGCCCCTAAGAGCTGCGCTCTAAAACGACGGAGTGTGCGCATCCGGCAGCGATGCTGGAAGCCTAGAGCTTGTTCATTTAGCGCGAGCTAGAAGTGGACCGCATCACTCTATGTTACATCATGTGACGTGACCCGCAGGAACAACTCGGATCTCCGGCGAGACGTTCGGCGTCCGATCAGTGAGGGAACAAGAGCCGCGTCGGCGTTCGGCCGGCACTCGCGTTTTCTCATTCCATCACTGGAGTGAGAACTGAAAATGATTAGGGTCCGGTCATATGACACATTTCGCGTTTAAATGTGCGATAAATAAGAAAAAGGAAGGCACGTATGTTAGTTGGCAACAGTTCCACTTCTTTTAGCTGGTTTGAAGTGGCAAAATATTAGCTAACAAAGCACTTCTTTTCAAAAGAGTCGGTTTGTAACATTCTCCCGTTATCTATCGCACACATGTGCAAATATACATTGGTGTGCCATCAACATACAAGCAAACTTTGATGGGCGCTGTGCCCCCTAATTTCCGCACCTAATTGCAAAAAAAAAAAAAAGTCACGTCACGATCCACAATCATGTTTTTAAAAGGAAAATCAGTGGAGTATCAGTACAACCTCGGGTTTTATGGAATGCTTAGAGCCCACAGATGAAGTTACGACCCTGGAGGGACGATCTCAGATATCACTTTAGTGCCCCTTTAATTGCGAGAGGAGTATGCCGTGAACCCCGGATTTAGCTATGCCCCAGCACTCAGACATTCCGGTTGGTCCTCGCCTCTCAGGGCACACCGTCGCCTGCTCCTCCTCCAGCGGAGGTCGGCGAACCCTTTTCTTCTCAAGTTAAAAACACAGAAATAAGCCATTACTCACCTCGACGCACGTTTCCACCTCCTGGTACTGACTCATGATGGGAACAATCATCTGCAACAACAGACAACAACAATGGGTCAGCGTCGCAACGGCCAAGATACAAGATTTCATGTTGTTTCGTTTCATTTATTTTACCCCAATCGCATCTGGCGAAACGTTACACGAGGGTATAATGCCCCGAACACGCCTCTGACTGGCGTGTTTACCACGCCCTAAAGAGTGGTCCCTTGACTTCCGTTGGTCGGCTTTCAGTGAGCGACATAAGTTTTTAAAGAACAGACTGAAATGCTACTTAGCGAGGAAATGCCAAACATTTACTTAATATGTGAAGCTATACGAATGCAACAAAGAAATGCTATGAGAATGAAGATAACTGACAAAGAAAGGAAGAGAGAATGCCTCGTTAAAGTTTACCCGAATTTCTAAGATAAACTTGATACAGAGTTTGAGATTGATGTTCCACAGAATTGAATTAGCCTTTCCCCGTGTATATTTTGATACTGTAGAAGGCTAAATACGCGGAGTGCAAATTTGTCTGCTTCTTTAGCACAGGGTCGTGGCGACATCAGAACGGCGCCGAGCTTCGATTGGCTCCGTTTGAAGGATGGTAGGTAGACCTCAAAGCAAGCTGCCTTGAGGTCTACCCACTACCCCTCCAACAGAGCCTATCAAAGTTCAGCGTCGTTTTGACATCAAAAGAAGCAGACAAACTTGCGCTCTGCATAGATTTTCTTTAGATCCATGAGGACACTTAAAGAAACTCTGTACGAGAACGCTTAAAAAAACTCTGTACCAAAAATTAATTTTTTGAAGTGCTTGGATAGCACGCATATGTCACAAAATCCGCCATCAAAAGAAAAAGATTGTAGCGCAATGAGATACCTCTTCAGTTACGAGTGATCATAAAAAATGCTCCTATTTCGATGCGTCGGCCCCCAATTATTGTTCAAAAAGACTGACAGGCAACAGCAATGCTTTGACTCTGTCCATGTCATTGCACTGTGTGTACTTTTAAGAATAGACTACCAATTAGCCCAATCGTCAACATTATAAGAAGTATTGTTAACAGAACGTTTACGGTGTGTGGTTGCTATTTCTCAGAACATTGAAGTTTTATCATAATCCCAAGTCAAAGAATTCGCAGCTGGTCAAATAAGATGCACAATTTGTGCGTGCAACTTTAAAAATTTGCAGCAACCCTTATTTTTAAATTTCTATAACGAACAAGATGCAGGAGCGATTGTTTTAATTTGTCTAGAAGATGTTTAGCAGTCATTTCGGAAGTGAAGAACATATATTAACACAGAACGTGTTTTATCAGCCGATTTCCATGGAGTGCCGTAACATTTGACAGTAACAGCCGGCTGTATTAGCCGGCTGTAGTGGCCGGTTCTAGCAAAAAACTGACACCACAAAGCGTTAAACCCATAAGGAGCCGCATAAAAAGACTTCGGTCTCCAGCAGGATTCGAACCTACCTCCTAAAAAATTGTCAGCCAAGTGCTTTGCTGACTGAGCTATCCAGGATTGGTGGTACGGAGCATGCAAGGGCGAGCTCATTCGCACAGCACGCGACTGAGCACGCACGATTCGCTTCCTTTCCAGTAGAATCGGATAGGTGTTCGGATCACGCAAATGTGCAGTCTTTGGCGCGGCACACGAGGAAGCGGTCACGCGCTACGCCCTTCTCTTCTTCCCTGGAAGGCCTATCGCACATTCTGTGCTTACCAGTCTTTGTCAGCACGATCAAGCTTTTTTTTATAAATTTCTTTGCCAAGTTTAGCGGGGAAAGTGAATTGGTGTATAGTTCAGGTGTCAAATCATGCGATGTGAATTTCACCGGTATATTTAGCAGGGAAACAACTGGTCTATGGGTAACGTGACGTCAATTTCACCGCTATATTTGGCGGGGAAAGTGAATTGGATTAAGGTTACGTGGCATGAATTTCTCCACAATATTTAGCGGGAAAATTGAATTGTATTAAGGTTACGTGGCATGAATTTCTCCACATTATTTAGCGGGGAAACATAAGTGGTGTAGGTTCACGTGACCTCAACATTCTTGCTAAATTTAGCTGCAAAATGCACAAAGGGACACAATTTGGGGATTTAGAGAGTAGCCCTAAAAGCATCTCACATTTCAGTAATTGTTAGAGCTCTAGTGAAACCCCTTGATCCTCCCACCAAGCCCTTTCCCAGACGGACATTCCAAATCACCATTTCGGAATTGGCAAGCCATTTAGCTAAAGGCAATCGGGCGTTCGGCTCGCATCAAGTTCTGCAAAGGGCAAGTTCAAGTTTTGCAGTGCACCTGGCCGGCCAAAGCAAACATATTTAGGGCACATTTTAATTGTATGTCATGATGCTCACTCACTTTGCTCGCGGATGCGATGCGAAAAAAAATAATAACAAGAACATAAAAGCTGAAATGACTGGATATTTAGTTTGCTGCTTTTTTTAGTCCTTTAAGTTTAAAAGTTTAAAATAAATGTAGATTGTAGACAATATATGCTGTCATCAACGTCTTTGTAGATAAATTTAAAAAAAAACAATGGAAGTATCTTGAAAATATTTAAGATACTAAACGAAGTAACTGTAACTGTAACATATTACTTTTATCTTTAAGTAACTGTAACTAAAATACATTTTTCACAAACTATTTGTAACCATAACTAATTACTTTTTAAAAGTAACTCACCCAAGACTGGAAAAACTACTAAACAAAATGTGTCCCATCTATGCCTTTAAAAAAAAAAAGCCTTTTTTTTTTTAAATGTCAGTGTCTCTTTAAGTCAGTGGTCTCAAACTCATTTGAGTATGGGGGCCAGATAGCCTACACCAGAAAGGTCGAGGGTCTACATGAGATGGATATCTAAAGATTTTAAAGAGAAGAGACCTCTTGCTTTATGTTTTCTTGTGAACAAACAGTTTTGTCAGTGACATCTTTAGATTTTGTTTGTTTTTAAGACTACTTGGGCACTGACCTCATGTGATACCAAAAATTAATATGACATTGCCCTGCCAACAAGCGGTCATTTTTAATGAATCAAGAGAGGAAGTACACCGTCGCTCCCGTTGCTCAATTCACTTAGGAATTAACCAAGCTCAACGTCTCCAAAAAGTATTCAGTTAATTCGACAGTTTGCTTTTCTGATGATTTTTATTCACTGTGCACAAATACTAGTCTTTTAATGAATGGTGATACTCTTTTGAAGGCGAAAGCCCCGAGCTTGTAGCTTTACCTCTGGCAGTTGCTCGTGCTGATTGAGAATTCGCGCAATTGTTGTTCCTTTCAAAAAGCTCGGAAGCAAAAGATAAAGTTAAACAAAGGGCAAATGATCACAAATAAATATAAACTTTTGAATGCGTTAAAAGAGAAGAGCTACTTTTTGAGCGAAAATGAATCGGAGAGAAGGGGCACATGTTATTTCTAGACCTCGAGACATGGGAACTGGGACTCGTAACCGATTGCCTGCGGGCCGCATCCCAGCGAGTCGCGGGCCACATGTTTGAAACCCCTGCTCTAAAGGGGGACACTGGCTAGAGGTTGAACTTCTGAACTACTCAAGTGATCGGAATGAAATTTGCAGGGGAGATTGAACTTCAGATGTAGGTGTAGTACAGTGCAAACTTTCAGCTCTCTAGGACAACTTTACATACCTGCATAAGATGATGTGTCACTCTTTGTTAAGGAATCTTATGATATGCAAATGAAGCTTTTAAGCATCAATTTAACTGCTTCAGTATAAAGTGGGGGATATGGGACTTCGGGCTATCTAGTTTTTATAACTCAAATGTAAATATTTCATGAAGAGTGATTACCTCAAAATATGAGAACCACATCTGTCTTATGTCAATTTTTGAAAATATGGTTACTCTCAATGAGAACTTTAATGTAAAACAAAATAAAGTAGATAGCCCGATTCCCCAGTAAATTTCAGTTCAGAAACATCTTGATTGTGCTATCAGAATACTTTTACCTTCAAACAAAAGATTCCTTCGTATGAAATTTCCAGCAAAAAGTGGAACTGAGAAAAATGCATTCGAACATTGAGCTCCTTTACTTTGTTACTGCCTCACCATGTGTTGAAAATATTTTATACACCAACTCATGTTTACAAACAAACCGGAGCGCGCGGACGCCACCGGCGCCGCGCATGCGCGGTGGATGGTGGGCAAGAAGCCCGCCGTCGCCCATAAACAAACCATTGAATTGCGTTGTTGTCGGCGTCGGTGGGAGTCCCCGTGCTCTTTTTCGCGTTGGAATTGTTGATTTCACGTCCTCCTAACAATGCCTGACTACTTGAGCGGCTTCAGCAAAACTAACGAGGCAAAACTTTGCGTGAATAATGTGCGCCGATTCATTTCACGTGGACGCCGCAGAATGGGCGCTATAGCCCGACTCCCATGATGAGATTCTGCTCGCTGTTCTCAGACGCGACGTTGCTCGGACTGCAAAAGCGTGGACCGTAGCTGAGATGGTGGACGTCGATACTGAAAACCGCAAGTAGAATCGGGCATTACAAGTCGGTGATGCCACTAGTAACAATAATGATAAACATCTTCTTGTATCTGTTTACACTTAGCCTACTTACCCCAACCAACCTTCAAAAGTGTTTTGAGGCCTGCACTTAGTTCTTATCGCAATTACCGGGTCAACGTTTGGTTTATGGGCCGCTGCCGTTTGAACGAGCTGACGACAAAAAGCAGCCAAGTTTGAAAGAGCAGACGACACTTCGAACGCATGCGTAATGGGGTACGGGCAAGAAGCACCGCCCGTCCCCCGTCAACAAACCACTCGAATGTCACGTTGTCGGCGTCTGTGTGAGTCTGACTACTCTTTTCCGCGTTGGAATTGTCGATTCTATGTCCTCATCGCAATGTCTTACCACTTTAATCACTTAAGCAAAATTATCAAGGCTCGTTACACCGCTAAACTTTCCCTAAATAATTTGACGTGCGGCGATTCATTCGCATGAACGCCGCAGAATGGACGCCACAACCATGATGAGATTCTTCCAGCTATTTTCAGTAGCGACGTCGCTCGTGTTACAAAAGTGTAGAAGGTAGCGGCGATGATCGACGTCGATACTGAAAATCGGAAGCGGGAACAGACCAAACGTAACAAGTCGGTGATGACCACCGGTACCAATGATCAACACCTTGTATCTACTTTTTACACCGAGCCTACTTAAGTCTTTTGAGGTCTGTAATTACTTCTTATTGCAATCACCGGGTCAAAGTTTGGTCTACGGGCTGCTTTTGTTTGAACGAGCAGACGACAAAAAGCAGACATTTGAAAGAGCAGACAAAAGTTCGAACGATCAGGCGGCCGTGTGAATTTGAAGACGCACTGAACCCGTGGGTGGTTCGGACAACTTGGTGGTTTTCTCTCGTTTATGTTGGAACAAAGCAAATACAGGGTGTCACAAAAGAAAATTTACACTGTCTCTTTTACCGCAAAAATAAACTAGGCATCGCCGAACGCTCATTCTCCGCCCAAAGGTAGCGCTAGAGGTCACAAACAGATGCCAAAGTTTCAGCCCGATCCGATAACTTAATCAAAAGTTATAAGCGATTTTGTGAAAAGTTCAATGGGAAAATGGAGCCCATTTTCGCCCGTTTTCGGTTTCTGGTGTTATAGAACCCCCATGTGTTTGAAAACTACCTCGGCCGCCATTTTCCCATTGAAATTTTTAGAAAATCACTTATAACTTTTGATTAAGTTATCGGATCGGGCTGAAACTTTGGCATCTGGTTGTGACCTCTAGCTCTACGTTTGGGCAAAGAATGCGCGTTCGGCGATGCCTAGTTTATTTTTGCGGTAAGAAAAACCGTGTAAAATTTCTTTTGTGACACCCTGTACATCTGGCGACCGCAAAGTGTTGCCCGCGCACGCAATCGTAGTTCGACAGCGTCTGGTTAGCCCTTTTCACGGCTACTATCCACGTTCTCGGACGAACGGAGGGGGCAAAAACACATGAAAACTGATCTTCAAACCTTTCCAGACTCTCTTGGTACAACCCCCGTCGCAGCATTTTGACGAGAAGGCAGGTTTTTTTGTCTCGTTTCTTCCAAGGGAACACAGGAATGCATGTCTGGCACGGCGACTTCTGCCCACCGCCACAGACCGGAAGTGCGTCCGGCGCGCCACTACCGCGGCGTGACGTAGGAGAGTTGAGTTGGTGTATACCAACGGAACTATTTGGTGCATAGTTATGAAATTTAGTGTAAGGGCGTATAATTAGTTTATAAAACCGAAAACCTCAAAACTGAAAAATGCATTTTTTCAAAACATTTTTAAACTTAAGCTTATGTCCCGCCTTAAAGGGAGGCACTCCCTTGGAGGGTCTACTTTTTAAGTATTTGTGCCAGGTCAATGAAATTTTTAGGGTATGTTAAACGTCAAAACTTAGGAGGCTACACCAACTTTCAACCCAAAAGGTTTATTTTTTGACGAGTTACAGCCTTATTCGTTGAAAAAAATGTACATGTAGCCGTGCCAAAGGAAAAAAACTATCGTTTCAAGAAATGAATAAAAAGGCACAATTTCTTTGTTGGGATATAACGCTGAATCACTAAACTAATCGGTAGTAGGCTTGAAATAATTTTTAAGGCCATATTTCACGTAAAAATTAACTTTCAATAATGGTATGAATTTTTTATTTTTTTCTTGTTTCACAAACGTCAACATTTTTGTGTGAAGAAATAACAATTTGTAAAAAGTAAGCGCATAGCCGAGTTCTCCAGTTAATTACATGCCAAAAAAGCCATACATTAGACTTGGGGGTGTTTAACTTATCAAACAATAGTTTTAGAGCTGTGAAAAAATAATGAAAACATGAAGCTGAGAAAAACGGGTTTGAAAGTTCAAACAGTGTTTTAGTTTAGATGGGGCTTGCCATCTCATCAAAAATGCTTCAGGGGCATATGTCACTCCTTCCTCTGCACGGTCCCTCTGTGCCTTGGCCACAGCTTCCATCTTCCTTTTTTTGTGGGACATCTTGGAGGACTCGAGCGCTTTCACTTGGGCCTTCGCAACCTTCATCTTGGTGGCCCTCTCTCCGTATGACGCTTGGTAGCTCCCCGGCTGTATGCCCATTTCCAACAGAGCTTCCTGATTCGCTAGGACGAGCCACGTCACGTGGCTCGTCCTAGCGAATCAGAGCTCTTGTTTCGCCAGCTTGACCAATAAGAGCGTGCACAGCTATGTTTTCTACAAGGTTTTACGGTCTGTGAGCACAATATCGCGAACAATGCTGTGAACAGAACGAAAGGGGGCGAGATGCTCATTCCAACGAGGGGGGCCTGTCCATGCTAGTCCTAAGAAACGCGGAGGGAGCGCGCTTTGAAAATGGCACATTTTCGTAATTGGCCGCGTCGTTGGCGCGCACGTGCGGCCGCCAGCACTTCGAAAATAATTTATTTCGGAGTAAATACTTCACTTACAGGAATAAAATTTTTGGACAGCATTCTTTATGAGTTGTAAAAGCTGGTCAGCCTGTTTTCGAAAAATGTGACTTTTTTGAAAAAATTGCAATTCCTAGGCCGTGCCTCCCCTTAAGTGAATGAAAAGACTAAAAAATTTCTGCTATAACAAAGAAAAAAGAAAAAGACATGCCGACTCTTCCCAAATAAAAAAATGGTGCATTTTAATCGTTTGAAAAAGGGTCACAGTTTCTTTAGGCGTCAGGGGGCATCTAATCGAGTGAAAAACTACCGGAGGTTAGTGACACAATCTCAAAATTAGTTTTTAAGAAAACAATGCAGTTTTTGTAAGTAGCACCTAGGGAAACCGCAGTTCAAGAATCGTGATGCAATCCTGTCCGAAATTTACTGAACCAGCCACCAAATTATGTTGTGCGCCGAGTTGGTGGAATCCAATTGAGCAGGCATCAAGTATGGCTTTATTGTTACGTGATGCTCTCCCCGTAAAAGTTCAGGACATCTGGCACAGATGTTTGCACATGCCAGTTCACATGGCCCGTTCGCACCACACGAACCTTGATCCCAGCAATTGCGCGGGGCCAACGTTGTCCACCATGGTGCAAGTTTCGATTTCGGTTTTCGATTGCATTTAAAGCAAACTTTCCCAGAAAACCTTCCATTTCTCACGAAACAGCCGGTGCAGAATTTTTTAGTGTACCCCACCGACCAAGATCAAACGTTATCTGAATATTTTTGAAGCTGAGTGGAGTTGTGCTCCGAACGAAGGCTTTATCCACAAAAAGCGTAGGATGGAAATGTGCATTGACCACAACAATATCAAAAAAACAACCGCATCTCCACGTGGTGAATGATGTTGATTGGGGCGAAGCTCTGGTGGTGCTTGTCTGCGTAGACGCTGAGCCGCAGCATGCCGAGCCTTTCGTTCGTTTTCATCCATGTCACGCTGCGGTCAAATGCTCAAATGCGTATATAACCACGTTCCATACCACACATTCTCTCTCTGACATGGATGAAAACGAACGAAAGGCTCGGCATGCTGCGGCTCACCGTCTACGCAGACAAGCATCACCAGAGCTTCGCCCCAATCAACATCATTCACCACGTGGAGATGCAATTGTTTTTTTTTTTTTTTGTGCCCTACATGAGCAAGGGAGCACGTATTTCAATTCTCGTGAGCACGTGAGTTCACGAGCAGGAGGACGTGCATCCAACGGCGGACGAACATACAGACATGGCTAGCCCCTAAGGAGCTTCGCCCCTAAAAGCAAGGAAATACGGACAAGAACCGATTTGATGAATGCAGAAATTTTGAGCCAAGGGAACCCAGGGCCCATTCAAACTGCCGAGACGGCAGAATATTCAAAATCCGAACACAGAGTTATCTTGGTTTTTAATTGGGCAAACTTTGCTTGCCCCCGCTCACCTCCAGGGAGCTGTACTCCACCAGGTCCGCCTTGTTCCCCACCAGGACCACCGGGGTAGCGTGCTCGTCCCCCAGCTGCTCTCGCAGGAGAGGCAGCCAGTAGTCCGTGATCTGGGAGAGTCCCCACCAGTAAAGCCAGCCTCCCGTAAACAACAACAAATGCGCCGCTATATTAAGGTTCCCAGTTATGCGGGCCGATTACGGTAGGCCTAACTTTGTGAATGTATCTGAGGAAAAAAAAAAAAGTGAAGACAACCAAACAAACACAAAATTCATTCTTTGGCCAAGTTTCAAAATTTAAAGGTGTCGTACCTCGGCGAAGGAAGACCTACTTGCATCCGGCGTCACTCCCATCTCTGTCCTTGCGTGACACGACCCAGGAAAGTAATTTTAAACTACTGTAAACAATTTTACTTTCGCGGGTTCAATAGTTAGCGAATTTGGAAAAATGTGGTTTTCTGGGATATTTTGCGGGCACGAAATTTCGCGAAGGAGGGTGGTATGCAATGCTTTCGGTATCATAAGGAAACATAAGCAGGTTCTCTTTTTCTCGATAATATTCGAGTTGCGTGCAAAAATTAGGTCTTTGCGAAAATTGAGTCGTTTACACTGCTTGGGCAAGATTTGGAACACAGCCTTTGTATCCTCTGCTTCTTGCCACGCTCTAGTGAGCCCCGTTTCGGTTTTTCCCAATTTGTTTTGTAGCAACTTTATACACTGAGGTTGTGCTCGCGCAAAACAGAGACTAAAACACTCCTCTCAGGTAAATAAACTTTAGCGAGGAAAGCATCTCCACTTAACTGCCCCCATCTCATTCAAGTGTCTCAGATGCCCAAACCAAGTTACAAAGTGTGCTTTAACTTCGCTTCGCCACGTTCGTAACTTTTTTAAGTGCCTTTGCTATCTAAAATGTGTCTAAACTCTATCAGAGTAAAATCAATGTTTATTTCTTACACAAGATCCTGTAGAAAGAAAGAAACGCCGAAAGCCAGACAATACAAATGTGAATGCCAGCAAAAAAAAAAGAGAAATGATGAGCGCCAAAGCGATGCGGTAATCGGTCACCCACCTTGTCAATCGTGTCATCGTCGTCCACGGCGTAAACGATGCACACCACGTTGGCCTGCGGAAAATAGAGTTAGTCGAGTGACCTTCGGCGGCCCCGCAGGCACCCACCGGTTCGTTCTAAACTGAAATTCTCACCTTGCCAATTTCTTCAGCCAAGTTTTCCTGACTTTGCTCTTGCGCTTCATAGAAACAGACAATAGAGGGGTTGGTCAGGTTATTAGACGAGTAATTTCAGCAGGACTGCATTGCCACGAACAGGGTTAGAACTGAACCCACCCTTCTTCTATTCTCTGTCAGTTCATTGAAAACATCCCTTTTCATCCTGTCTCACCGCATCTACTCAAATACGGATCAACTGCAGACATAGGTCAAACGTTATGTTAGACAACTTGTCAAGAACAAAGCAGAAATATTAATACAGCGAAATACCACTTAAACAAACTCCTAGGAACCTGAAGAGGAAAGTTCACTCAACTGAATGCATTATACACAGTAGGATTTTGCTGGGGAATCTTATGAAAATTTGTTTATCCGAGTAGTTTGTTCCACTGGAGTTTGCTCAAGTGCTATTTCACTGTATACCTAAGTGAATGCTCATTTTTGAAGGTAAGAAAATTTCTACAACTTTAATTAGCACCTTTAGTCACCTCAGCTAAAACTAACTCGTCCACGAAGCTGGCCAGATTGCTGTAACGAGCAACCATGTGCCTCTACATAAGAACACGTAAATAAAGTAGGCTCATGGTAATTCAAAATCAGATATTTTGTACTTCTTGTCAATTCAAACAAATTTCCCAATTTTGATTGTCCCAATACATTTTTACTGTATTTATAAGCCGGTTAATTCGAATGGCATTTTCGTGTAATTCATACTTTTTGTTCTCGCGGCCCTGTTGAGTGCACTTCTTACCGAGCACTGGAGCACTGAGAAGAAGTAACACCCGCAAAGTTTGCTTTCACGGGTGTTGCTTCTCCGCAGTGCGCCGGTGCTCGATAAGAAGAGATTTCAACGGAGCTAATAGCCCACAATAGACTATTTCCATGCTGGATGAACTTTGAGGTGTCATGTGCTGTCAAACAGTCCACAACAGAAATCTTTGAGAAATGAAGAAACTTATCTCGTAGTTTTCACCAATGTTTTACGTGCGAGATACCTGCTTATGATTAGTAGGTGTGTGTAGAAGAAATCATCAAACATCTGCTTTGTACGCATAACCATCCATATAACAAATCATAATTTTATCTCGCATAAAATTTGTATGAAATTCTGATAATTCAAACTACTGATAAGTTAAACAAAATTCGTGGATTCCTGGAGTTTGAATTAATAAGAGTATTCTGTGCACATAAAAACCAAAAACATACTTAGATCTTTGAGATATCAAAGGCAACCTGTAGTCTCATAACAAGGAATCAATTGATACCTTCAAAACTATTAACACACCCTCATGTGCTATTTCTTGCCATTTTTAAGGCTGCCATTCTCTCCATAACCTTCATTATTTTCTCTTCTTGGTGTTGTTTTTCTTTTGTTACAATGAAGTTGTAACTGCACGTTTCTTAAAGTTGAACCAATGAACAGTTGGCCTTCTGTCATGTGACTCTGCTTTGCACGTAAAAATGTGCTTAAAGAGCAGTCGCATAACAAAATGTCGCAGTCAACTGGTCCAGTCAGTAGGCACCCTCCACCACATTGCCAAAACAAGTATGCAAAAAAAAAAATTTTAATTTGCATGCAATGCGCATTTGGTTATGCTCAATTACACCACACAACACCACAAACCAGACATCCATCAATTTGATGATTTCAAGCCCCCATTCTGAACATGCTGGGTCGAGAACAGATTGTTAAAAATCAAAAGTGCAAACACCAAGGAAAAGAAGAGGGGACAGGACAGAGCGAGAATAAATCAGGCGGCGGCCGGCAGAACACTGCAAACTCTTTCTGCCGACAAAGTGTCTTTGCAAGCAGAACAATAGTCACCGAAACGAGCTGCTACCCAAACAACCGCCAGAAGAGAAGCGTAGAAAAAAAAATTGCCATTGCAAGGCCACTCAAGAATTGACCCCCAATAGAAAAATTTCAGAGCATGGGTTCTGAAACTCAATGGCGAGTTGGGCTCGTTGGTTCATTGTATGGAAAGAAAAGGCAGATAAGTGTATCAGTGATCCTTGACCCTGACAGATAAAGTGTGTTCATTTTTAGATAAAGAGTGGGCACCTGGGAAAATGGTGTGGGGTGTTTCAAAGTGTATTTAAGACCGTTTTTCTAAATAAAAATTCAGTTGCAAGTGCACCTTGCATTGTGTTCTTCTTTACTCTGTCACAGTTTTTGGTGCTTTTCTTTCCGTTCTGAAACTCTTCGATCTTGAGGAACCCCTGCCACCCTCGATTGACATGCGAGGAACCCTTCCCACCCTCGGCATCGACACAATGAAGCAGTGCAGAATCACCTATGGGCTCTCTGAACAATAGTTTGCGCACTAGGGAGTGATTGGCTCATAGTCGTGCTTCTCAAGGAAATTCGGGAGCTTGAGGAACGCCGGAGGGTACCCTGGGGAATCCCTGGGTCCCTAGGACCCCAGTTTGAGAGCCCATGATTTGGAGAACAACGCGGAAGAATGTATTATGAAGGACACAGCTCCACAGACTCACTCGAAAAATCGACGATCCGGGTGGGCACCTTTTCGGGCGTCACGTCGGCCGGGATCGTGATTTCTTCCGCCCGCGGTGGGACATCCTCGGGAAACTGCTCGCTAACCAGGGACAGGATCAGTGACGTCTTGCCCACACCCGCTGCATAATGCAAAAGTGTGCAAAAGCGCTTAATGCGACGCCGATGATCGCAGACAGCTCGGATCACTTCGGAAGGCGGCGATGCAACGAGCGGGAAACAAGGAAAACACAAAAACAAGGCTTGTCGTGGACCTCCGGTCACCTCGCTGTTCCAGACGCGTGCTAATCGACTTCAGAGGCGAGAGATTTTCTGCGCACGCTATCGGGCGGTGAGAAATAAGTCTCTGTTGAAACGTGGCTTCTAGTTTTCGTCGGTAGGGTTTGGCTGCTAGCCCAAGGTCATTAGCATGCAATGCGTAGAAGCAATGAACCACTAACAGTAAACCTCCGCACATGTGTACAGCCTGTCCCCTGCTTCCTGCCTGCTTCTTGCCATTGCCATTTTCAGAGGACACTGTCTCACACGACCGACATTGTCAGCCCCCTACCTTCGCACATATTTCGTCTTTCTTTATGATTCTTTTTTGAACATAGATAGCACAGGTAAAAAAAAAAAAACTAATAAAAACCTAATAAAAACCAAAACAATAGCAAACTGCCAATAGGTTCCAATGAGTGCTGGGGTGCCCTTCATTTATAGAACGCAGACAGCCTCCCCAAAACGGTGCTCCTTACTCAAAAAAGGCTGATTACCAAAGAGCTGAGTCCAGGTTCGATAGTGCTGTATTTCCTGGTACCGGAGTGTCTAGCAAATTACTACTTACAAATTTCCCAACTTCTCCAGGCTTTCCTCCACTATATCGAATAAACTCCATGACCATTACAAACAGAGAATGTGGAAATTAATCCAGGACAGTCGAGCTTATACTAAAAGAACACGTCTTTGGCAGCGACATCATTTTCACTTATACTGTCACGGACAGAAAACGGCAAACAAATGTAAAACTGGAAAAAAATGTTTTATGAGGCCAACTTCTGCTGATAAACACAAGCAGAAGGTATCAAGCAGCCTGCATGAGAAACAGAGAGGTGACTGTGTTGAAGAGGTGGTTCACAATTCCAAGCAGTCGATGCTAATTACCACTTCCTCTGACACGAACAAGAAAAAATACAACATATTTAACAGGTAATTTATACCACATAAATTTGAAATAGCGTTTGCGAATTCCCGTGGACAGCTTATCGACACAATATCCTGCGGAAGGTTACTCTAGTCACGTATAATTTTGGAGTCGATATGATATTTTGGGATTTTAAACTGATGCTCATTATTATATCTTGGTTCTTTTAAGTAGCGAGGATATAGCCTATAGTAGGAACCGGCATTGTACAGGTGACGAGAAACCCTAAAAAATATATTTTGTTGGGCTGAGTTCCGTTTTGCCGAGCAATGGGATATGAAACTTGGTTAACACATTTTAACGGAATCTTGTCGCATATATTTTAAAAAAAAAACAAAAAAAAACATTGCAGTCTTCTTTTAAACTTTCTCTAGTTCCTCAATTTGATTTTTTCTATGAGGGTCCCATACCGTCGCTGCATAATCTACCGTAAAATACTGGGCAAGCGCCCACTCAAAATTTCGAGATAATCACGAAAAAATGGGGGATGGGCACTTGTCCGGTCATCAATTTTACATATCAATGTACTGAGCATATTTTCTCAGATATTCACGGTAATCCACAGTAAAGTCGGCCTAATGCTATAAACGACTTAATTTTCGCGAATTTCGCGAATCGCCTACAATTCGTGAAACATATGTCCCGCGAACAATTCGGACAATATGTGAATGCTACAGAAGCTACACTCGATTCGCGAAAATTAGAACCCGCTAATAATTTCAAACTTTCAGCTTTTGCCCGATTCGCGAAAATTTGAGCCCGCGAAAATTAAGTCGTTTACAGTATATGCTTTGTACGCCATTAGTTTCAGTGCAGGGGGCACATGTAAGATTTTGCCTTAGACACCAAAGCTTTCTTTAATTGCAGTATGGCAAATCTTATGATAGTGCTCCCTCCAACTCCATTTCTTTGAAATCATGACTCTTAAATATGTAAAACAGCATACTTCAACCAATGGAGACCCACTGGTTGAAGTAACCTGCGAACCAACTTGCAGAAATATGTGTGTAGGCACTTTTGAATACTGCCTGACACTGCAAAATGCTAGGTGTGCCTCTGCCCTATAAATAAATAAATAGCACAGAAAGGGCACCATACACCTGCCCGGGAAAAGAGAGTTTAATTTCATTACAAGTAAAATACTGGGGAAACACCCCCACCCCCCCTTCCAGTGAAAACTGAGTTAACATAGTCATGGGTGCTTGCCCAGTCAAATCGATGGAAGCCAAAATGGAGGCCAATAAAGAGCTTTGAAGACAGGGTGAACGAGATCAGGGAAAGCACGTTTATTTTCACATGATATCCCTGTCATCGCCATTGGCGGCCTTGTGGCCACCGTAATGCTGTGAATATTTTCGACAGATGCCATTGCTTTAGAGGGGGTGGCTGCTTAACGTATAATTTGCATAATTCCCAAGTATGAGAAATGTTAGCAGTGGGCGATTCCCCAGTATTTTACTGTATTTTCTCTAAGGTTCTGAGGGCATTACAGAGAGGAGAGGGCACTTAATATATGTATAAAAGTAAAAACAATGAAAAGGCAACAATACAAAATTACTACGAAGCATCATTTAAGAAATCAGTAATTGCAATTTTAAAATCAGCGGTGTTAGTAATTGTAGCTAGGTCTGCAGAAAAGTGGTTCTAATCAATGGAGATTCAGGGCAAGAAGGAGGCATTAAAAGTAGATGCACTTCAATGGGGAATTCTAACTTTTAGTTGACGATTGGTGACTGGTGACATTTAAGATGGTTCTGAAAACAGCGCTTGAAGAAGTGTTACACTAGAATGATAGATCTTGTGAAATAAACATAGGCTAGATATTTTTCTAAGAAAGGAGAGATTAGGGAAAGAGAGGGATGCTTTCACAGAGGTAAAGCTGGCTCTGCGGCGATAGTTTTGAAGTATAAAACAAGCAGAGAAAAAAACAAGCAGAGAAATTTTGGATGGATTCTACTGCAGATGCAAGGGTGATACCAGGGTCCAAGACTAAAGCTACATATTCAAGTTTAGCAGAAATTAAAATTTTATAAAGAAGATTTAATGAGATAGAGACCAGAAAAAAATTTATTTCGATGTAGCCAAGAATTTTATAGCGTTGTTAGTGACATAGTCGACATGGGTATTCCAGGAAAGATGATTAGTTATGCAAAGAGGTGGACAGGCTCTGTGTGATACAGCATGAAAGAATGCAATCTTGCAGGCAGGAGTGCAGTGACTTGTGCCGGGTGTCGGTCAGCCGCACTCATGAGGTCAAGTTTTGTTATTCTCTTTGATAGCTCAATTACAATGAAGGGTCGGCTCTATCACGCATCAGATATGCTATCAATACTGGGTCCGCTTGCACATACCGCAGAAATATTTGTGAATTTCTCACCACATCTAGTTACCAATTTTTGAGAGCTATGGGGCAAACATTTAAACCTGTGTTTGACCGAAGTCATTCACTGGACCGACTGAAATCCTGATTATATAAGGATATGTTTTCAAAAGATGGGGCTATACTGACTGCTTATTAGCTTCGGAAATTGTGCTTAGCATATAAAGAAAAACATTTTCTTTTTGCGTCCTAAGAGCAAGTGATTAGGTAACCAACTTTCTGGTAAACAGCAGTTTGCTAAAAGTTGGTCTGCATCTGGCAAATTACAATGTCTATAAGTTTGCACTATATTAGAGTTGTGTGCAACACCACAATTAGAGCAATCTCAGCTGGGCTTAGAATGTTGAACAAACTTAAGCATCAGGCACGTAGCCAGGGGGGTGGCCCATGGGGCCCGGCCCCCCCCCCCCCCCCCCCCCCCGAAATCTTCCATTTTGCTGGGACCTCCTCTCCCCCCTCCCCCTCATACAGCATTATGTCATGGGCGGGCCCCCCCCAAAACAAAATCCTGGCTATGTGCCTGTTAAGCATATATAGGCCCATATATAAGGTAGAGCAGATTTTCACAAAAAAAGGGAGAACATTAAATATGGCTAGATATTTTATATACGCATCAGATCTTCAGGGCGAGTCAAAGGGATCAATGGAAAACCGCGTAAACTGGATTGTGAACGTATTAAGCCAAAACTTTTTAGAAAGATGGCTGAAGAATTTAAAGGGACACTGACACCCCCCCAAAATTGTTTTTTGCTAGGCAATTTATAATGGTGTCAATCCCAATCAATATTTTACTACAGCGTAACATGTATGTTTTACATTAAGTAAAAAACTGCAACTACTCGAAACCGAACCTGCAACTAGACTGGAAAGGAAGAAGAAATATAGAACAGGAGAGCATTGCCAAAAATCATGTGGCTGTGCAACCTTTTTTTTTTTTTTTTTTTTCAATGAACATATTTGCGGCGTTTTAGAAGCCAAAATAATAGGTAGCGTATTTCTTTTTCTATTTTTAATATTGAGTGTGTGCCTTCAATGACCCACGACTATATTCAGAGGTTGTGTCTAAACCATAGAAAACGGCACGTGACCAATGGGAAGAGAGTGAGCGCGACTCAAACCAGTAAGTTCTCGATCGGCGGTTTTCGAGAGGAAAAACGAAATTCAAGCTGCAAATTGTGTTCTGGGTAGTGTTATGTACATGACATATGTCATGTACAAATAAAAATTTTGGTGAGCATAAACACCCTGTCAGTGTCCCTTTAAGGCCATAAAATTTTCCCAGAATAAACATAGCCGAGTAAAAAGTTTAAAACGAAAAGCATGAAATTCCAACCCACGGAGGCCATCTGCTAAAGAAATGCGTCTGATTGGAGCAACAGCCAACAAGTAGCAGGCACTAGTCGCATCGCAGCTGCAGATTACAATACAACACGTGGGTGTCCGGAGGGTGGAGTGGGGGGGGGGGGGGGGGGGGACTTTCCTTTCCCACCTTTTTTGGTGGATTTTGGGGATATTTATTAGTGGCGTGCTCTTAGGTGGCAGTCCCACTGCTAAGACATCATTCAAAAGACAGTCTTCAGACAGTATCTCAGGCATGTGTCCTGCTTGTGCAACGGTCTTTGACCTCGGCAATAGCAGACAATGTTTCAGAGCCAGAAACAATGCTCTCTTTTTCTGCTCGAATTGTCCAGGGTGTGGTTATTTTATTCAACCAATAAAACATGAAAAAATTAATATAAAACAAGAACAACAAAACAGATGTGTTGTCTCATTTTTTTTCCAAGAATTATTTCCGGCTACATGTCGCTGTCTGCTTTGCAACCTCCGATTGTTACCATGTCTTTTCTTGTCCACAACTCTCATCCGCACTGTTTTAAGGTGTAAGTCATGGTGTGCTTCGCTCCCAACGAGCGCCTGAAAGTTGTTCTCCGTTACAAGGAGTGCAAAAGGACAAAAGAGGTCCACCGACATTTTCGGGCAGAGTTCGGGCGGCGAACTCCAGGCTCCCTTACAGCTCTACACTGGTTAAAGCGTGCCTCAGTGAGGAGGGAAACCTTTGAAACAAGCCGACAACAGCGCTGTCATCACCCAAGCTGAAAAACGCGGTACTCGCGGTGCCTTCACCACCGACACCCACATGTTGACGAGAAGAGCACTGTTGACATCCATCGGCTGTTGCGCCCATCGGATGCCTTTGGCTAGCACACGGCCACCGTAGGTAGGTATTTCAAGTTTTCCATTTCTAACTTTTTACTCGAGTGAATTAATTGGGTGAAATTTGTATACACTTAATGCACATTCTTCAGCCACATCTCAAAAAAATCTTAGCTCGACACGTTCACAAACCGATTTACGCCATTCCTTCAAAAAGCCATCGTCCCCTTTGATTCACCTTGCAACTTCGCCAACTGCGACATTTAACTTCGGAAAAACAAGGAATAAATAAGACCATTCGAGCTTCTCAAGCGTGTACCTCACTTTCAATAAGAGTTGCTTTCAAGCGATGCGGGTCTGTTTCCACAGAAACGCTCAGATAGGACGCACTTCATGAGGTCCATTTCGCATTTTTAGAATGTTCCCAGAGAGGCACGCGGTTGCTCCAGTGTGGAACTTCATATTTTCTTCTAAACCGTGTCCTGTGTATGTTAAGGCAGCCGGAAGTTTATCAGCCCCATTGAGCGTCTGCTGTCTCCGCTGTGAGTGAGGAATTTAGCCAGTGCGGTACAACCGCCCACTAGCCCGGTGACTTGAACGTGCACCACGCAGTAGTGATACACGACCGCACGTCGGTACGACGTTCACTCGATCGAAACGGGCAGAGATGGGGATTGAACCCAGGATCCCTGGGTGCTGCAGCGTAAGCATTCGCTCTTCGCGTTCCGAGCAGCGGTGGCTTTAACGCACTCAGCCACTCATACCCCCATTTATTTATTTTCCTCTGAACGCAAACCTTGAAAGAAAAAGCATGTGCGTGCCTCGCACGCACGCTTTTCCTCGAAACTCACCTTCGCCGACTAGGAGAATTCGGACATCTCGTTTGCCGTTAGCTCGTACCATGCCGGTCCAAGTTCACGGTTCTGTCCGCTCGCACCCTCAGTCGACTAGGCACATTAGTGGTTTAGGTCAAAAGAAAGGCCGATCATGTCTTGGCAGTTGTGGCAGCCGACGATGTGTGCTGGTTCTCGAGGTGTGAAAAGGTCGTTTGAGGGCTTGTTTGTTATACAGCGGCGCCGAGTTCTGTTGGGAGTCCTACCCGAGTGTCTGGCATCGTTACGGGGTAACGCGACTCAGCATAAGGCGAAATTATTTTACTTTAGGCAAGGTCACATAACACAATTTTGCACGAACCGCAACACCGCGACCATCGCTACATCGCTACCCCTAAAAAAAACAATAAACGCGAGCCGGCCTCCAGTGTTGGGGGATGGGAATTACTAAAACCGTAAAAAATAGCGAAATCATCAACGAAAAAAAAAAACAGGCACAGAAAACAAAATAAATTCGGCAAGGTCAAATACAATAAAAAAATACCATAAATTGCGTAAAGCAAATTTACGATTTATAGTAATTTTTTGGTTTTAAATTTGTTTTTAGCAGTTGGAAGGATAAATGTTAGTGGCTGTACCCTTTGTAATGGGCGGTAGCTTGCGCCATCTAGCCTAAGGCTTCTCCGGCTGTCCCATTTGAGTCGCTCCCCAGCCATGATCTCTATGTCCCCAGCAGTACGAGCAAAAACCTCTTTTAGTACGTGTGCAATCATGACGAAAATAATCCCTGGAGAAAGGGAACAAAACGAACAAAGGGCAAACACAAAACTCGAAAACAGCTAGGTGACTGGTGCGCGACCGAAATAATCCGCCTGGTCCGGGTATCGAACGCGGAACCTTTTTCCTTTGTCCATCTTGTTCCCCTTCTCCAGGGATTATTTTCCCCATTCATGTCCAGCCCGCTTGAACCCTTGCATTTAATTGCATTATAATCATAACCTTAAAAGGCAAGCCTTTCACCCTTGTTGGTGTTAGACTGGTGGCAGCTGATAAAACATGTCTGCTCTAATGACGTCTAACCCTTGGATAGCTCAGTTGGTAGAGCGCTCCACTGGAACTGAAGAGGTCCCAAGTTCGATACCCGGCCCAGGCGGATTTTCTTCGGTCGCGTACCAGCCACCTAGCTGTGTTTGGAGATTTGTGTTTGTCCTTTGTCCCTCTTGTTCTCATTCTGCAGGGATTATTTCGTCGTTATCGTCCACCTCGCTTGCAGCTTTGCATTTAATTGCATTATAATCATAACCTTAAAAGTCAATCCTTTCGCCCTTGTTGGTGTTAGACTGGTGGCAGCTGATTGGGGAGGAGTAGGGAGGAGGACAGACCGTGACGAGCCAAGCGGTTAACTTTACAACTACACGGATGGGGACAACAATTACAATGACGCAGCGCTCGGCCGACATAACCGAACGCGGCGTCAGCGTTCGGCTGGAGTTCGTGCTCTCCGGCGAGGGGGAGGAGGGGCTCTTTTGTTTCCACTCCGGCCTGCATGAACAATGCAGCATGCACGATCCCAGCTCAGCACAAAAGCCGAAGTGGGTCAAGCTCGCATTCTCTGAGGATAGATCTGGCACTTAACGTCGCTTCGTCGATTGTTAGTATTTTTTACATTAAACTGCGCCCCGCGCTCTATTGTAGAAGATGACATAACCATGCCCCATAAGGCCTATCGGCATGTGCTCAGGCCTTGTGTTGAGTAAACACCGAGCGCGGGGAAAACAAACCGGTCAGAGCGCCCCCTATAGTTCGATCTCCTGCCCAATAGAACTGACGCCTAACCCCCGGATAGCTCAGTTGGTAGTGCGCTCCACTGGAAATGGAGAGGTCCCGGGTTCGATACCCGGGCCAGGCGAATTTTTTCGGTCGCGCACCAGTCACCTAGCGGTGTTTGGAGATTTGTGTTCGTCCTTTGTCCCTCTTTTTCCCCTTCTTCAGGGATTATTTTCGTCATTCTTGTCCAGCTCGCTTGCACCGCGCGCGAACGCTTCTCCGGCTGCCCATTCGTGCGGAGAGGGCGTAATCCGAAAAAGAGAAGGGGGTGGCATCTCTCCGCTGGGAGGCGCTCCCAACCCAGAGGGACCTTAAAGGGGCATTGACACATCAAAATCGTAATTTATTTTATTATCCGAAACGATTGAAAATGATGCCGGGACATTACCCTCAAAATTCGAAACTTGGGAATTCAGTATTTGTGAATTAAAAAAACAATTTCCAAATGCCGAATTTGAAGTTCCCGCGCGATCCGCGCCAGTGCAGTGAGTCAAATTTTGCGGTCTCCTGCGACTCGACTTTCTTTCGGACCTCCGCACCATGCTGTGAAGCAAAGCGCCGTTGCTACCGCGACCCGAAGAAAGGAGGAGGTGAGCAGGCGGGATAGAAGGGAGCCGGCGCGGGGAAAAACCGGTTTGTTCCCCAAATCGGCGTTAAGCCTCTGCTCGAGCGCCGCCGAAATCTGATTTTTGGTATTTCAAAAAGAAAGGGCGTAGTGCGTTCGTCATTGCGTTAAAAAACATGTTTTCCGATTGCCGTTATTAAATGTTATAAAAATGTCGCCTACAAAGCTTCTAAATTTCCAGATTTTTGACGACACCGATCAAAAGAAGCAAGGAGTTGAGCGCGGGAAATATAAACGCCAAAAATAAAAAGGCGCGCGCGCGCGCGGGAAAATTTTTTTTCGCGATGCGGTTTTTTTTTTTTTTTTTGCGTGTCTATGACTACAACTTGCATCGTCTTAGACAATAAAAAATAATACGACCTTTGTGGTGTCAGTGCCCCTTTAAGTCATCGAGAGCATGGCGCAAGGGCGGAAATGCTCAAAAATGTATTTGGAAATACATGAAAATAGGAGCTAAAATACTGGTACTGAAATATGTCTGTAATAATGTATCGCAATATGTATCGGGATTCGGGAATACATTTTAAAAAGAGGCCAAAAGTCTTCGGAAATACAAATACAAGAATACATTTTAGGGAAGGCAGAAATATACTACAGAAGATACTGCAATAATGTTTTCAAATTTGTTTGAGACGCCAATTGAGATGAAGCTTGAAGTTTGAAGTGGAAGTTTTTGATCCTGAAATTACTTTCTCGTAGGATTAGCATTTTGTATTGAAGGTAGTGGTTTCGGAAGAGGAGCCTACAGTGGGCTCAAAAAGCGCTCCACCAAGGATTGACCGCGGTTCCTTCCCTGACATCCTCTCTCTCTGACAAGTGATGCGAAAATGCTTCAACCTCTAAATAAATTCCATGTCACCCTAAATCCCATCGAAACGTAACCACGCTCCTGGCCAATAAGGGCGCCCCTGTCAACAGTGGTCACATGACGCCACGGTGGAATGAACTAGTATTATTGTATCTGTAGGTTTGGCCAGGGTGCCTTCATCTCCCGGTTCGCTAAGGGTTGTGCCAAGGCAAAGCGAACATGAAGGCACTTTAGTTTGGCCCTGAACATGAAACATTACCCACGCTGGTGTATGAAATGACAATACGTACTTTCGTTGTAGGCGACCTTGTTGGAGATCGTGCAGGCAATTGTGCATTTGGAATTTTCGAGAATAGGTGGACCACCTGAAGCATCCTGGAACACATGTCTTATCTTCTGTTGAAAAAAACGACACCGCTGTTGTGACCGTTCTTCCCGCCGACCCGACGATGCTATGACGCATGGGAGGCAGTCCTTAGGTGTCGCCTAGCGTCATCCAAACAGAGACCCCTCGTGGATTGCTACCCGAGATTGCGGGCACAGGTGACAGGTGCGAGCTCTCCGAGAAACAGCGCGCACTCGAGACGAGTCGCAGGTGTACGAAGTCTGGGGTCGGCACAGCGAGGCCATGTCTGGCCTCCTTCCTGGGTATCAGATCACCAGAGCAGCGGGTCACGTTCACGTCGACTGATGACGTACCCGTTGAACTTCACTGCGAGTATAATGCAATTAAATGCAAAGGTGCAAGCGAGCTGGACAAGAACGACGAAAATAATTTGTGTTTGTCCCTTTGTCCCTCTTGTTCCCCTTCTCCAAGGATTATTTGTCGTCATTCAACGTTTAAACCTTTTTTTTTTTTGGGAAGGGGGAAGGGGTGTATTTCTCAAGAAATGTAACAAATACATTTCATTCTTAAAGGTGTTTGCTTCTACTAGAAGTACCTTCTGTCCTTTCCAATGTAAATACTGTAAATACTTACATTAAAAATACTGTAAACATCTTTTTTTTTTGCTACTATTGTTAGTTGGGCCAGCCTGCAGGCCTAGACAGCTTGTTAAAAAAAAAAAAAATCACCCCGATATTCTTTTTCTGCGACCAAACCCGCGCGAAAAGGACAGAAAAACAAATAATGACAAGCATCAGCTAGCAAACAAAACCACGTTTCACAGTCGAAAAGAAAGGGAAACGTCGCGACGGGTTTAAACAAAGGAAGGACAAAGTTCTAAGCGGGCCACTCTCGCTGTGCACAACAACAACAAAAAAATATGTTACTGTTTTTGTGGTGATTTAGGAGAAATTGTTCAGGAAAAGTACCCCTCAGGGGAATGTCTTCACCCATATTGGGGATGCAAGCACCCTAACGAACAGATGGATGGTTTACGCCAGAGCTGGCCAAATTACTCATATTTTGTAATTAAATTACATTACTAATTACTTTGCTGAAAATTGCTAAAATGTAATTAAATTACATTACAAATTACCACAGCCACAAAGTTTTTAATTACTATTACAAATTATTTTTAAAAGTAATGACATTACTTTCGCATTACTTTTGTATGCTTTTAAATATAAAGGAGCTATTGATAACTTCCTTTTATAGATAACTTTATTTACATTATTTAGACAGTTCATGGCACACAGCTAGAACTCTCTGTTGCATGTTTACCGATGGACAGAGGAACGCACGCGACTGATCCGTTTCCCACCCCAACCCGGACAACTATTTTTGGAGATGACTGAGGACCCTACGCGGATTATCTCTGGGAGGGGGGAGAACAATTGTCATTGTTCGCAAAATCGCGTCGAGGGCCGTTCCACCAGGGGCCTTAGTTCGACCTACTTCCCCTCCTTCGTTTCCCGAGAATATCGAGCAGAAAAGCTCGAATGGAAGCCACTCACCAGCCCTATTTCTCACAGTGGAAGATAACACAGAGAGGGTACGCAGTATGCATCAGAAAAAGTAAGCGGAAACTTTCAAGAGGGGCCAGAAAACGTCGAATGCAAAACCGCAAAACATAGGTAGAGAATCGCGCAGAGCGGGTTTTCACAGTTCAAGAGAGTGGCAGAAAATGTCTAGCTGATAGCGGGCGCGAGAGTCGCACCAGCCGCATTAGCATCAGCAACATAGCGGCGGCCAAAGAGCGTTTTTTGGAAAGGTGTAGAGGAAAAAGAAAAAATAAAATAAAAAG